GGACCTCAGCCTCCTCAGAAGGACCTCAGCCTCCTCAGAAGGACCTCAGGCTCCTCAGAAGGACCTCAGCCTCCTCAGAAGGACCTCAGCCTCCTCAGAAGGACCTCAGCCTCCTCAGAAGGACCTCAGCCTCCTCAGAAGGACCTCAGCCTCCTCAGAAGGACCTCAGCCTCCTCAGAAGGACCTCAGCCTCCTCAGAAGGACCTCAGGCTCCTCAGAATGAACAAACCTTCAGCTCATAATGAATACTGAGACCAAACAGAACAATAACGTTCAGACTTACAGTACCTAGTGCGGCACAGTGGCTGAGTGGTTAGCTCTCTCGCTACAGGAACAGGGTCTTTCTGAGTGGAGTTTGCATGTTCTCCCTGTGTCTGCTCCGGTCTCTCCTACTATAAACATATATAACAGGTCTGACGTGTGAAAGACTAATGCCCACAACTGCAGCTCTTTGTGAGTCTGGTCTGGGAAAGGCGCTATCTAAATAAACATTACTTTCTTTAACTAGACTAGACTTTACCATAAAATAAATAAATCTGATTTATCTCAGATAAAAGAGGCTCCGAGAGAGCGTCGATCTGTCTGAGCAGCAGAGAAAGGTTTAATGTAATATTGATGAGAATGAGCTCATGTGACAGACATGACTCAGAGTCCAGACCTGGGACCTGGACCTGGATCTGGGACCTGGACCTTGGAACTGGGACCTGGACCTTGGACTTGGATCTGGGACCTGGACCTTGGATCTGGGACCTGAGAACTGGGACCTGGACCTGGGACCTGGATTTGGGACCTGGATCTGGGACCTGGGATCTGGGACCTGGACCTTGGACTTGGATCTGAGACCTGGGACCTGGATCTGGGACCTGGGAGCTGGGAACTGGGACCTGGGACCTCATGGGACTTGGGACCTGGACCTTGGAACTGGGACCTGGACCTTGGACCTGGAACTGGGACCTGGACCTGGGACCTCATGGGACCTGGGACTTGGGAACTGGGACCTGGACCTGGAGCTAGGACCTGGGACTTGGGAACTGAGACCTGGACCTGGATCTGGGACCTGGGACTTGGGAACTGGGACCTGGACCTGGATCTGGGACCTGGGACCTCATGGGAATGGGACCTGGGACCTCATGGGATCTGGGATCTGGGACCTGGGACCTGGAGCTGGGACCTGGGACCTGGACTTGGGACCTGGACCTGGAACTGGAACTGGAACTGGGACCTGGACCTGGATCTGGGACCTGGACCTGGGAACTGGGACCTGGACTTGGGACCTGGACCTGGAACTGGAACTGAGACCTGGACCTGGATCTGGGACCTGGACCTGGGAACTGGGACCTGGACCTGGGACCTGGACCTGGAACTGGAAAACCGGTCTCTTTCATGGATCTATTATAAAAATGGTCTCTTTCCAAAATATTTAATAATCTTTTGTTCATCTGTAAATACTGTAGGACCTTTCACAGACCAGAGGCACTACACTGGAAAAAATAAATAAAAAATCTGCTTAAAATAATAAAAAATGACCTGAAACTAGAACAAGGAAAAATAACTTTAGATTTCTGAAAATAATAAAATAAAACTAGCCCCAAACGACTTGATTCTCGTTTAAAACATACATTTCAAGTATTATTTACTTATTTCTCAAACGTTTTTGATAAATCAGAATACTACACAAAATACATGTATTCTGGTTTTTGTCTGATCTTTTTGTGCAGTTTTCAGACATGAAAGTAAAAAACAAAACATATTAATAATCTACAGATTCTTATGTTTCAGACTCATTTAAGTTAAAAACAAAAACTTCCTTCCTATTTTTTTGGTAAGATTTGACATCATTTTCTTGCGGTTGTTTTAAATATGTTTTCTTGGCCATTATGTTTTTATTTTTATTTTGTTAGTTTGCACATTTTTTATTGTATTTAATCTGTTTTTACCAGTTTTTACTGTAAAAATATATTATTTATATTTAATGTAAATTCATGTTTATTTACAAAACGTATAAAGATAAATCTCAAAATATTTAAAACCAAAAACGTAATAAATGTTTGAGAAAAATAAAAGCTGTAATTGGGAATTTGAAAAAAAGTGAACTATTGATGAGAATGACGTCACTGAGGCATGACTCATAATAACAGACAAAAACATGGCTCTGTCCAACACAGATTTTCTTGATTTAATAATAATAACAATAATAAAACAATAATACTATAATTATAATTATACTAAAAAAAGATAAAGCTTACTTACTGCTTACTTCTCTTTCGTGCGCTGGGATTGGCTGAATTCTTAAATGTCTGGACCAATCAGAGGTGTCTCCTGGGTTTCATAAAAGTCTGCCTGGCCACAAACTGCTTTTAACGAGATTTTACAGGAATGGTGATAAAACACAGGAGCATAGAGTGTAGGAGTCAGGATGTTTAAAGTAGAGGGGGAGGAGGAAGAAGAGACTTTATGATTCCTCATTTCTACACGATAATATAAGAGAGACTTTATTGATCTGACACTGGAGAAATAATTAGGTTAAACTAAACATGATACAAAGAAAGAAAAGACCAGAGACACCGAAATGTTACAATAAACTAGAACATAGTACGAAAATATGCGGGAGAGTTTGTTTTCTATCTAACAGTAATCTAATCTGAACCTTACGCTTCTGGAGCAATGTTAATCTATGGCTCCCTCTAGCGGTGAAACACGAGAAGCGATTTTAAAGTGCAGCGAATAATGTGTAATTATTTATGCACTAATTGGTTTTTTACCCTTGATGTTTTAAGTCTCGTCTAAAGATCTACATTTTATGCTCTGGATTTTGACACTGCTGGAATCACGTGGTCATTCATTTCTTATATATGTGTGTATTTATTTCTTTGTTGCTATTTTATGGCTGCACCATTGAGAGTTTACTTGTTGGTTCTGTGTCTGTGTGGTTTGGAAACATCACAGATAAAGAAAAGAGAGCTTTAAACAAGGTGCTCCGCTCTGCAAAGAGGACCGTGGGCTGTGAGACCAGAGAGAGACCAGAGAGAGACCAGAGAGAGACCAGAGAGAGATCAGAGAGAGAGACCAGAGAGAGACCAGAGAGAGACCAGAGAGAGACCAGAGAGAGACCAGAGAGAGACCAGAGAGAGACCAGAGAGAGATCAGAGAGAGAGACCAGAGAGAGACCAGAGAGAGACCAGAGAGAGACCAGAGAGAGACCAGAGAGAGATCAGAGAGAGAGACCAGAGAGAGACCAGAGAGAGACCAGAGAGAGACCAGAGAGAGACCAGAGAGAGACCAGAGAGAGACCAGAGAGAGATCAGAGAGAGAGACCAGAGAGAGACCAGAGAGAGAGACCAGAGAGAGACCAGAGAGAGACCAGAGAGAGACCAGAGAGAGAGACCAGAGAGAGAGACCAGAGAGAGAGACCAGAGAGAGACCAGAGAGAGAGACCAGAGAGAGACCAGAGAGTGTGACCAGAGAGAGTGACCAGAGAGAGAGACCAGAGAGAGAGACCAGAGAGAGACCAGAGAGAGACCAGAGAGAGACCAGAGAGAGACCAGAGAGAGACCAGAGAGAGAGACCAGAGAGAGACCAGAGAGAGAGACCAGAGAGAGACCAGAGAGAGAGACCAGAGAGAGAGACCAGAGAGAGACCAGAGAGAGACCAGAGAGAGACCAGAGAGAGACCAGAGAGAGACCAGAGAGAGACCAGAGAGAGACCAGAGAGAGACCAGAGAGAGACCAGAGAGAGACCAGAGAGAGACCAGAGAGAGACCAGAGAGAGACCAGAGAGAGACCAGAGAGAGATCAGAGAGAGAGACCAGAGAGAGACCAGAGAGAGAGACCAGAGAGAGACCAGAGAGAGACCAGAGAGAGACCAGAGAGAGAGACCAGAGAGAGAGACCAGAGAGAGACCAGAGAGAGAGACCAGAGAGTGACCAGAGAGTGACCAGAGAGAGAGACCAGAGAGAGAGACCAGAGAGAGACCAGAGAGAGACCAGAGAGAGACCAGAGAGAGACCAGAGAGAGAGACCAGAGAGAGACCAGAGAGAGAGACCAGAGAGAGACCAGAGAGAGACCAGAGAGAGAGACCAGAGAGAGACCAGAGAGAGACCAGAGAGAGACCAGAGAGAGAGACCAGAGAGAGAGACCAGAGAGAGAGACCAGAGAGAGAGACCAGAGAGAGACCAGAGAGAGAGACCAGAGAGAGAGACCAGAGAGAGAGACCAGAGAGAGAGACCAGAGAGAGACCAGAGAGAGAGACCAGAGAGAGACCAGAGAGAGAGACCAGAGAGAGACCAGAGAGAGAGACCAGAGAGAGAGACCAGAGAGAGACCAGAGAGAGACCAGAGAGAGACCAGAGAGAGAGACCAGAGAGAGACCAGAGAGAGACCAGAGAGAGACCAGAGAGAGACCAGAGAGAGACCAGAGAGAGACCAGAAAGAGAGACCAGAGAGAGACCAGAGAGAGACCAGAGAGAGAGACCAGAGAGAGACCAGAGAGAGACCAGAGAGAGAGACCAGAGAGAGACCAGAGAGAGAGACCAGAGAGAGACCAGAGAGAGACCAGAGAGAGAGACCAGAGAGAGAGACCAGAGAGAGACCAGAGAGAGACCAGAGAGAGACCAGAGAGAGAGACCAGAGAGAGAGACCAGAGAGAGACCAGAGAGAGACCAGAGAGAGACCAGAGAGAGACCAGAGAGAGACCAGAGAGAGACCAGAGAGAGACCAGAGAGAGACCAGAGAGAGAGACCAGAGAGAGACCAGAGAGAGAGACCAGAGAGAGACCAGAGAGAGACCAGAGAGAGAGACCAGAGAGAGAGACCAGAGAGAGACCAGAGAGAGACCAGAGAGAGACCAGAGAGAGAGACCAGAGAGAGAGACCAGAGAGAGACCAGAGAGAGACCAGAGAGAGAGACCAGAGAGAGACCAGGGAGAGAGACCAGAGAGAGACCAGAGAGAGAGACCAGAGAGAGACCAGAGAGAGACCAGAGAGAGACCAGAGAGAGAGACCAGAGAGAGACCAGAGAGAGACCAGAGAGAGACCAGAGAGAGACCAGAGAGAGACCAGAAAGAGGACCGTGGGCTGTGAGCTTCCTGTTCTGGAGGTTCTTTATAAATCCAGACTTTTAAACAAAGCTCTTAGGATTGTTAATGACTCTTCTGGCCACCCTGGGAAAGCCATGTTCCAGCTTCTTCCCTCTGGCAGAAGATATCGCTCTCTGAGATGCAGGACATCTCGTTACGCTAACAGTTTTTATCCACAAGCTGTTATCAGTTTGAACAGAGCACTTTAATGATTTGCACTTGTTTTGAAACTGTTTTAGTCAATCGATTTCACAGTGACATTTGTTTACTGTTTTATTTGTTTTATTTTTGTCTTTTAATGTTGTTTTATGTCTGTATTTGTCTGTGCACACTGGAGACTTTTGCTAATGTATTCCAATGTGGGTTTTTTTACTGCAAATGGAAAATAATCTGAATCTGAATCTGAATTTGCTTGTTGTGCAGCTCTTTGGAAACTGCTCGTCTATGAACTGTGCTATATAAAAAAAGTGGAGTGAATAAGTGACAGCATAAGTTTATAATGTTCAGAATTAATAATTGTTGAAATATGTCATGGTTAGAATTCAATTATTCACACGTTTTACCGACTTGTAGCTTGTCTTGTTTTGCCTTTTTCTTGTGGTTAGTCATAAGCCATGTCGTTGTTGTACATGAGAATGTGTATTTAAATGGTTAAGCATTGAATCAATAAAACAAGATTAAGTTTTTGAGATCAAATGGATCGATCGTAGGACGTCTGAGGTGACGTTGGTGACGTTTTAATTGATTTTTTAAATATGTAAGTAGTTTATTTCACAAAATCCTTTGTGTTCGTTTATTTCTTTAGTAGTGTAATAAAATGAATTAACTTTGGTGACGCTGTTTTTATTCATTTATTTTTATCATTTTATCATTGATTTTATTTTTTATTATTATTTATATTTTGTATAGTAAAGTGTAACGTTTGGTGACACGCCGATCTTATTTCTTGTCCAAACAGTTTTTTCTATCATTATTAATATTTATTTTAATTACATTTACTAATATACAACTTTTACATAAAAAAAACTTCTCCTTTCGACATAGTGACGAGTATGCTGTGTTATAATTTCTTATCATAGAAAAAAAGAAAATGAGCCAACATTCCAACATATTCTCCTTGTCCAATCGCGTGTCGGGATGAGCTGGCACTGATGACGCACCCGGAAGTGTTTATAAACTTTGAGCCAAGCTAAAGGCTAGCAGAGGCTAACAGAGGCTAACAGAGGCTAACGCGCTGAGCAGAAGCAGCCATCACCGAGCAGCTGTCAGGGTTCTCCTCCTGATTCTTTGGACTTCACAGGTCAGTCCAGTCTCTGCGTACACAGGGGAACTCTCTGAGACGTTTTTAAAACTCTGGATCAGATGCTAAATAACGTCATGCTAAGCTAACAGCTGACCATGTGATGTCAAAGGCGTCAGTAGTTTGGTCTATATTTACAAGTGTTCAATCGAGGCTTAGAGTTGTAGTACAGATGTCTTCAACCTTTTTCACCCAGAGAGCTACTTCTCTCTGGGTAAAAACAGAGAGCTACTTTCCTCTGGGTAAAGGCAGAGAGCTACTTTCCTCTGGGTAAAAACAGAGAGCTACTTTCCTCTGGGTAAAAGCAGAGAGCTACTTTCCTCTGGGTAAAAGCAGAGAGCTACTTTCCTCTGGGTAAAAGCAGAGAGCTACTTCTCTCTGGGTAAAAGCAGAGAGCTACCTTCCTCTGGGTAAAAACAGAGAGCTACCTTCCTCTGGGTAAAAACAGAGAGCTACTTTCCTCTGGGTAAAAACAGAGAGCTACCTTCCTCTGGGTAAAAACAGAGAGCTACTTTCCTCTGGGTAAAAACAGAGCTACTTTCCTCTGGGTAAAAGCAGAGAGCTACTTTCCTCTGGGTAAAAACAGAGAGCTACTTTCCTCTGGGTAAAAGCAGAGAGCTACTTTCCTCGCTGGGTAAAAACAGAGAGCTACTTTCCTCTGGGTAAAAACAGAGAGCTACTTTCCTCTGGGTAAAATGGTATATCTTGGATCCGCTTTTCCAGGTCCTGGTCTGGCGTTTATCGCGTACCCGAAAGCAGTGAGCCTGATGCCTGTGGCTCCTCTGTGGGCGGCGCTCTTCTTCTTCATGCTGCTTCTGCTGGGACTGGACAGCCAGGTACGGTCTCACAGCCACAGCCGCAGCCACAGCCACAGCCGCCCTGATGGCAGAGAGTCACTCACACGTGTTGGTTTGCAGTTTGTGGGAGTGGAAGGCTTCGTGACGGGGATCATGGACCTGTTTCCGCACAGATATAACTACAAATACAAGAGGGAGATTGCTGTGGCGCTGTGTTGTCTCCTCTGCTTCATCATCGACCTGTCCATGGTCACACAGGTCAGGACGCCACTTTTTGGTTCAATTTCTACTTTTTGTTTTGGTTGGTTACTTCAAATTAATTAATCAATCACTTATTATTCATAAAAACTCAAAAAACAAACAACAAAAACAAACCCGTATGCTCAACCGTTTACCCCACGGCCCCACAAGCACCCAAAACCACATTTATTATTAGACATACACACACATGCTTACACACACACATGCGTACACACACACGCATGCTTACACACACACACACATGCTTACACACACACACATGCTTACACACACACACATGCGTACACACACACACATGCTTACACACACACACATGCTTACACACACACATGCTTACACACACACACACATGCTTACACACACACACATGCGTACACACACACACATGCTTACACACACACACATGCGTACACACACACACATGCTTACACACACACACATGCTTACACACACACATGCGTACACACACACGCATGCTTACACACACACACACATGCTTACACACACACACATGCGTACACACACACATGCGTACACACACACACATGCTTACACACACACACATGCTTACACACACACACATGCTTACACACACACACATGCGTACACACACACACATGCTTACACACACACACATGCGTACAGACACACTTCACACACACATTTTTTATTCATTTATAAAAAATAAAACGTTCTGTCATTTTCCTTTTTTGCAACTTTTGTGATTTTTTGTGCGTGTTTTTTGTTTCCTTTCTTCCCTTTAAAATGAAAAATAAAACAAAAAAATGTAAAGTAGCTAAAACCATGAAAAGGTCATAACTTTTAGATTGGCTCATTGTATGCGGTTGTGTCCTTAGGCAAGACACAAAGAACAACAGCAAACAACAATGAGTCTGGTGTGTGTGTGAATGGTTGGTGGTGGTGGGAGGGGCCGATGAATATTTGTATTAGTTTTTCTCCTAATCCAACCCTTGAATGCAGTTGTAAATCAGGAATAAACAGGAAATCAATGTTATTTCAAACTATCTCTCAGCTGCAGTGAATGACCGCTGAGAGATGGAGATTTGCTTTGGTTGCCAGATTGGCCACCTCCATCTATGAGCCTTTCTCTTGGCTCTGTATTTTGTCAGAGCGTGGACTTCCTTCTAATTTATCTGTGTTTTTATATTTGTCTTGATGTGTTACACCTGTATCTCTGGTGTGTTTAGACCAGGGATCTCCAACCTGTGGCTCGGGAGCTACCAATAGCTCGCCAGCCCCTTTCAGGTAGCTCGCCAATGGATTTAGAATTTAACAAATGATATCAAATATCATTTTTTGAGCCATTACATATCCACTATAAGTATTGGGTTATACAGTAATATGGTATATGTATGTTTTCTCGTAATTATTAGATAGATTTTTATTATGACTGCAAAAAGGAGTAGCTCTCTGCTTTTTCGTTTGTATAAAAGTAGCTCTCCGATTGAAAAAGGTTGGAGACCCCTGGTTTAGACCCTGTCCTCTTACTGTCGCTCTATTGTCGTTTTTCCCCCATGTCCTGTTCCTGGTTTTCACTTTTTGTGGCATCTACTCAATTATATTATTTTACCAGTTTTTCTTCTGGATCCTTCCGTGTTTATCCGAGACAGTGTGGTGTGATGGTTTGTTGTTCTCCTCAGGGCGGCATGTACGTGTTCCAGCTCTTTGATTACTACTCGGCCAGTGGGATGACCCTCCTGTGGCAGGCCTTCTGTCAGTGTATGGTCATTTCCTGGGTTTATGGTGAGTCCGAGACCGATTTCACTGGATCTAGATCGAAGAATAATAAAAATAAACTTGATCGTGTTTTGCGTTCTTACAGGAGCGGATCGGTTCATGGACGACGTGGCTCGGATGATTGGATACAGGCCGTTGCCGTGGATGAAGTGGTGCTGGTCCTTCATCACTCCATGTGTCTGTTTGGTACGTTCTCCATCATCCATAGATTGATAGATACTTCATTGGTCCCTGAAAGAAAAAGAAAAAAGAGGTTAGGAGCTCAGCAGCGTTTATTTGTTTTAAATTGTTTATTTAGAAAATGCAAGGTCTGCTTTCCAGTCCTGAGCATAGACTGTATTTATGAACAGAAGTAGTGACGCCTTTGAAACTCAGCTGCTGAAACTAATGTGACTTCTGCCTTCTGTGGCTTTTTTAAAATGGCCGCGGGGCTGGAACATGTGAAAAAAACATGTTTGTGCATGAGTTGGCAACACTAGCCCCATTCATTTAATGAGTGCATTCAAAAGTCCACAGCGACTAAACTAGACTGGTCCAAAAACATACAGTATACTACCCTCAGCATCTGGAACCAAGAGGACCAAGAGCCACTTTTGGACCAAGAGCCACTTTTGGACCAAGAGCCACTTTTGGACCAAGAGCCACTTTTGGACCAAGAGCCACTTTTGGACCAAGAGCTACTTTTGGACCACCCTTTAAAGCCGTTTTCGAGAGGAAATACGACACTATACAAAATCATTGGGTAAATCTCTTTCCGGGTACACCCCCACCGACCCAGAGTGAGATTGCAGCCTGTCAGTGCACATGCTCATGGACCTTTTGGAGCCGGGCCCCGCTCCCACTGGTCCTGTATCTGTTGATGGTTGATCATTGACCTGCTGAGTTTGTTTGAAAGTCTGGGAGCACGAGTTGTCAAGGAATATTCAGTGGCTTCCTTTAGGCCACGCCCTTCTCACAAACTAGCGAATCAGCACACACTGAGCCCACAGAGAATAAACAAGGCTCTGGATCGTCTCCCTGTGGAGTACATATATGCAGAAGAGAAGCGCTGTAAAAAAACAATGTATTATTATTATAATTATAGTCTCTGTCTTCTGTTCTTGTAGGGCATCTTCCTGTTCCATCTGGTCAACTACAAACCTCTGACCTACAACAATGACTACATCTACCCGTGGTGGGGCGAGGTGATTGGCTGGTTCCTGGCTCTGTCCTCCATGCTGTGTATCCCCGTCAGTATCATCTACCAACTGTTCAGGGCCAAGGGCAGTTTCTCTCAGGTACAGCTCTGCTCTCATTGGCTACTGCACATGCTAGCTTTACAGTCCGCTTTATTTATGCAGCACATTTTATAAAACACCAACATTTTAAAGGTGAAAGTAACGCATTCAAATATACGAGACAAATCAAATTATAACAATTAAAATAAAAACAGTTAAGTAAGGGATAATGTATAGCCTACAGGTCATTATCGGAAAATAAGTACCGACAGGGCGAAGCGGACCCCGACGCGGGGTCTGCTTCCGCCCTGAAGGTACTTATTTTCCGATAATGACCTGTAGGCTATACATTATCCCGCTTATTATACTGCTTTGTACCAACTTAACACACAAAATAAACTTCAGATCACTTTTATGAATGCCAAAAGTTTATTTAATGACAACAAATAAAGTAGTCCCAAAAAGTTTTCCCGTTGCTCGGCAACCGCGGGCAACAGTTAGGCTGGCAACTTCCAAATTAGAACTCTCTGGAACTGCATGAAAACTGAACAAAGAATTCTGAACATCAGCGGTGAGTGACCCATACATAAACCTAACCTAAATCCATAATTCGATCCTCTGCAAATGTTCCTAAAATGTGCCGGTATCTACTTCCGGGTTTTTCGGGATCGCCTTTTCTCGCATTACATCAGTGTTTTTGTCATGAAAACGTAAACGGAAAATTCTGAAAACTTCCGTGCACTTGTATTAAGACTGGATATGTATAAATTACTCTCCGATTAACATTTCATTGCGTTGATTGATTGGCATTTGCGTTTATTGAGCGGCCAGAACTACTTCCGGGTTTTTCACGATCGCTTTTTGACGCAGAGAAATAGTATTTTTGTCATGAAGACAAGAGCAGAAAATTCTGAAAACTTCCGTGCACGTGTGTGAAGAATGTATATGTATAAGTATTCTCCGATTAACATTTAAGTGTGTTGATTGAGCGTGGCTAGCTCCGGAGTGGCCGGAACTACTTGCGGAGTTATCCACGCATTTGAAATACAAGCAGAGAGTGCGTTGCCAAAGGGCAGCGGTCATTATTGTTTTGAGAGGTCCGTTATAGAAAATAATGACCGGTAGAACGTTTTGAAATTACATTCAAATCAATGGAGCGTTCTACTGCTGCTGTGAGGAGCCGTATAATAAAGAAAAAATAAAACATAATAAAAAAAATATAAATATTTGAATAAAATATAAACAATTAATTTGTTTCTTTTTAAAATTAAAATAAAGTAAATTTTATTAAAAGGGAAACAATGTTGATAAAATATTAACAATTATAATAAAATAATTTAAAATGAACATAATTAAAACAAAAAACTATTAAAATAATACAATTTAAAAAGAATTTAAATAAAATAGACAATTTAACTTTTTTCTTTTTTAAATGTTTTACATAATAAAAATAAAATAAAACACAATTATCAATATGCAAAAAAAAAACGTAACCAAATAGAGGAGCACGCAACCTACGCTGTGTTAAACAAGAGAGTACAAGTTTAAAGACAAGACCTAAAACATTCTAATAAGGTTTTTGACATCAAATACTAAATTCTTTATATTTAATGTTATCCTTCTCTCTTGTGTCTTGGCAGCGCTGGACTCACCTGACCACGCCCATCTGGGGGAGGCACCACCTGGAGTACATGGCCCCTGACATTAAGCCACCGCAGCCTGAAGAGCATAAGATCATCATTTCCGAGAGCGTCATGTAAACAAACTCCTTTACTCCACAAGTTTAATTGGAATCCCACGTTTCAAAATGGCCGCCACCTGGAACACATTCAAAACAGAAGATGGACTTCCTATGTTTCTCTCCAATACATCAGCTTTGTGCAAGTTTGAGTTTTAATCTCAAAGCCAGACAAGAACTAAATGAATGCCATGTCTAATCTGGAGTTTCAAACCATCTATGCAAACGTTTCTGAAGGGAACAAGCGGTCGCAGGATATTTGAAATGCATTTAGATTGATTAGAGAAAAAATATTCTGGAGACATTATTCTTTTCATCCGTCTAGACATTTAAAACTACTTTTGCACATGCGGATTTGAAGGCCAATTCTGAAAGGAAGCTGAGCTGGTTCTTTACCGAGCCGTTTCTGAGCCATATTTGTAAATGTACAGTATAAACATATAATCTAGTCTGTATGTCAGGATGGGGAAAGGGAAAAGAACCATGAAGTGACACATGGTTGTCTGGTTTTAATTGTATGGACTCCTTACTGGAAATTAAGGATTTTCACCAATTTCGCATTGTATAATATTTCTCTCATAACTGGTGGAAAGAGGGTTTTTTAACTCTTTAGGTGCCGGGTTTATTATTGTCTAAATATTGTTTTGGAGTCATTGAGATCCACTTTTATATACAGACTAGACTCTAGAGCGGGAAATGTATGATATTTGTACAGATCTGAATTTGGAACGACAGAAGCCATGGGGTTTAATGGAGTTTAATGGAGTTTAATGGGGTTTAATGGAGTTTAATGGAGTTTAATGGAGTTTTCAAATGAGTTTTGTTATTGCGTGTTGGATCTAACAGGACGGAAACCTCTCACCAGGTCCTTGTAGTTCCGCCTTGCTCCACCAGGGGCGTTTTGCTGAGATCCACTCAAGTCAAGATGGCAAAAATCCCTTGCTTATTGCTATATAAGCATAAAATCATATTGCTTAAAATCATAAATCAATATCTGTCAATCGAACAAGAAACTATGACTTAATATTTCTGATAATAATGAAAGAAAACTAGCCCCAAACGACTGGATTCTAGTTTAAAAACATACATTTCAAGTATTATTTACCTATTTCTTAAACACTTTTGATGTTTTCTTAAAATACAGCATCACAAACTTATTTTATCTAAACAAGAAAAGTCTGGAATTAAGAAGAAAAATAGTTAAAACCAACTTAAAAACTCACTGCTCAGACTTTTTTCTCTGATAATATTATGAAGTATCTTTAAACTAGTAAAATAATCTTATGTCAAACTACATTCAAGCAACAAAAACTTGCCTTTAAAAGATAAGCAACATTTTCGTTATTATTAGTAAATAAATCTTTCCCAGATTTTAGTTTTTTCAGTGAATGTGGAGCTTAGCGAACTACAAGGATCTGTGAGAGTTTGATCAACAGGACGACGGACACTTCTGTTAATGACAGAGACCAAAGAAACACATGTGTTTCATACATCACCAATGTCACGTCTGTAGCCACGTCTGTAGCCACGTCTGTAGTTACGTCTGCAGATGCGTCTGTAGATACGTCTGTAGTTACGTCTGTAGTTACGTCTGTAGTTACGTCTGCAGTTACGTCTGCGGTTCCGTCTGCAGTCACGTCTGTAGTTACGTCTGTAGTTACGTCTGTAGTTACGTCTGCAGTTACGTCTGCGGTTCCGTCTGCAGTCACGTCTGTAGTTACGTCTGTAGTTACGTCTACAGTTACGTCTGCGGTTCCGTCTGCAGTCACGTCTGTAGTTACGTCTGTAGTTACGTCTACAGTTACGTCTGCGGTTACGTCTACAGTTACGTCTGTAGTTACGTCTGTAGTTACGTCTACAGTTGTGTCTGTAGATACGTCTGTAGTTATGTCTGCATCACGTCTGTAGTTATGTCTGCATCACGTCTGTAGCTACGTCTGTAGATACGTATGTATTTACGTTTGTAGTTACGTCTGTAGTTATGTCTGCATCACGTCTATAGTTACGTCTGCATCACGTCTGCAGTTACGTCTGCGGTTACGTCTGCAGTCACGTCTGCAGTCACGTCTGCAGTCACGTCTGCAGTCACGTCTGCAGTCACGTCTGCAGTCACGTCTGCAGTCACGTCTGCAGTCACGTCTGCAGTTGTGTCTGTAGATACGTCTGTAGATATGTCTGCATCACGTCTGTAGTTACGTCTGTAGTTACGTCTACAGTTACGTCTGCAGTTACGTCTGTAGTTACGTCTGCTGTTACGTTGACACCAAATATTTCATAACAAAAGTTAGCACAAAGTCAGTGGTTTGAGGCCTGTGTCCAGAAGGAAAGTGCTCAGTGCTGTAGCCTCCGTGTCTGTCCAGTTCTGTTCGGTTTCTTGCTGTTGGTCGATGAAGTGCCAAACTCGGCTAAAGGTGCCAACAATACATTTAGGATTTTCTCTTTCACCACCGGAAACATTCTTGTCCCCAAAGTGAACACATTACATCAGAACCTGCTTCAGGCTCGGTAAAAGGCGCAACATTCTCTCTTTAAAAAAGCTGCTTCGTCAGTGTCTGTACTCTTGGGCCTGGAGTGGTCTCAACAGTTCTGAGCGGATCCATCTCCGGGCCTGAGCACTTCGGGGAACTGTCCATGTTTTGAATGTATTTCGCTGCAGTGGGATCTCATGCATTTGCACATGTTGTAAAATAATGTCACACTTTAAACACGGTTTGTTTTACATGTGAAAATGTTGCAGAGATGTATTTTAAGTATAAGATATCAAAGTGTTATTCTATATTTGATGCATTATGTATGAAATAGTTCTTTTTTAGCTGAACGTCCACTTCAGACGCTGCACACTGAGGCTCCGGGTTTAGCACCGATAAACATCCAACGGAGACGCTGCAAAGTCATTCGCTAAAACAACCAGGCTCCGTATTCAAAGTACACAGCGTTTATATGACTGCAAAAAATTTAGTTCTAGCTTGCGGCCAGTAGGGGGCAGTGGAACTTTCTCAACAACATCCTCCTCAGGCCAAAAACGGGAAAGAACCAACGTCCTTCTTTAGCGGCAGTAGTAAAAATGGAAAGTGAAACTACAGCTGTGGTTTGGTTTGGACCAAGGAGTAGAATCCTCCCCCGTTAGCGAAGCACACGTTAGCATCAGCACACGTTAGCATTAGCCGACCCGCCGCCGTTGTTGTCGTTTAGGATTTTTTTCGGCGTCTCTGTTCAGTTCCGCTATGGGGGCTGTTTCTCAACGTTTTCACCTCAAACACCGTCTCCATGGAAACGAAAGGACAAACTGATACCCAACTCTAACGTTTTACTGTCGCAGTGGAAACAGCACACAAACACCCATGGGTTGTTGTTCAGCGTAGAGAAGCCTCGGTACGTAGAGAAGCCTCGGTACGTAGAGAAGCCTCGGTACGAAGAGAAGCCTCGGTACGGATAGAAGCCTCGGTACGGATAGAAGCCTCGGTACGTAGAGAAGCCTCGGTACGAAGAGAAGCCTCGGTACGGATAGAAGCCTCGGTACGGATAGAAGCCTCGGTACGAAGAGAAGCCTCGGTACGAAGAGAAGCCTCGGTACGGATAGAAGCCTCGGTACGGATAGAAGCCTCGGTACGGATAGAAGCCTCGGTACGGATAGAAGCCTCGGTACGAAGAGAAGCCTCGGTACGAAGAGAAGCCTCGGTACGGATAGAAGCCTCGGTACGGATAGAAGCCTCGGTACGGATAGAAGCCTCGGTACGGATAGAAGCCTCGGTACGGATAGAAGCCTCGGTACGAAAAGGGGCCTCGTTGCTAAGAGGGGCCTCGGTGTGCAGACTTCTAGGACGGGCGGAGGGCAGGGGGTGGAGGGCGGAGGGATATCTGCGTTAGCCGTGATGCAGTGATGAGGCTCAAAGGGAATGTTTGACTTTTGTAATTCCTCTTTTACAAAGTGCTCAAAAGTTTGACTAATATAGTTTTAGATTATTTTAATATAGTTTTTTAAATAAATTAAAGTAAATATTTTTCTCAGACCTCAGCACCGTCAGCATTACTCAATAGTTTCACGTCCGTAAAGCAGGGAATTTTGTGAATCTGAAACGTCTCAAAATAATGAAAATATAAGACGACAGACTGGTGGGTAAAAAATATCAAAGATTATTATCGATCCGTGAAGGTTTGTAACATCTGTGACCAATAACATGTGCTAAAAACACACTAATGGACACATGTGGTGAAGCTACATTTCTCTGACCTTTAATCAAGTGCCACTGTTTGTCTTAATCCTTTCATAGATTGTAGAATATGGACTACTTTATTTCTTTTAAATTAATGTTTTGAGTAAAATTGTGTTTTTGATGGAAGCCTGTGTTAAAAAGCTTAATCCAATAATTACAGAATATGCAGCCGTTAACACATCAATAGTAATTAAGAAGTGTGCATTAATCATGTCATTATTTTGTCTTGTGCTTTTCCACAAAAAAACCTGAAGAACGACCGCATCTTTGAACTGAAACTTTAAAAAGGTTGAAATGGTCTAACAAAAGGCTCGTTTACGCGATCCTACAAGATAAAACAAAAGGTCCGTGAGCACGTGACTGACATGCTGCAGTACCACTCCAGGCCTGTGGGGGTGTACCTGGAAAGAGAATTACCCAATGCTTCTTTCCTCTCAAAACCAGCTTCACAGGATCTTGCTCTTGGTCCAAAAGTGAATAATGAATGTGGCTAGTGCAGCTAACGCATGCGCAAATGTGTTTTTTCACATTTTTCTGCCCTGCGGCCATTTTGAGAAGCCACGGAAGGCAAAAGTGGTGGCATAACAAGGATCTATTTTAATATCTGGAGTGTTACAGTTTGGAGCTGAAGGACCATGTGCTCGGGGGATTCTTCTGGTACTGCAAACTAAACCAGACTAAACAGGACTAAATTCCCTTAGACTGCACAGAACCGTTCCCCATAGAACTCAATGTAAACTAAAACAGCTCGACCTCAGCTGACTGAGAACCTGACAGAGAACCTACAGCTTTCATAAAGGTCAGATTCTGTGGATTTTAGTGTCCCTTGTCATCCTGAACTTTTTTTCCTTCTTAATTCCTTCGGTTTTCTTTAAATCCAAGCTCTGACGCCATCTTGGCTCACCGGGACGCCATCTTGGCTCACCGGGGCTTGTGGCACAATAACAGAGATCGGCGTGCCAATGTCTGTTAACATTTGGTCTTGACACAGTGTCTAATCCACACTGGAGTCGTGATTGGTGGAACGAAGCCTAACATTAGTTTTGGTTCAAAGATGCGGTTGAGCAGGAAACTTTACTGTAATTGTTTAAATGTGATAAATCTTCCACGAGCTGTTGGTGAATTCATGACTGAACTTTACGTCACCAGCTGCAAGTGTTAAAGTCATCAATCCAAGAGTTTGTCATTGAGCCCTGGTGTTTCCATCGACCTTTGAGGGCCTCCATTTTGTGTGCAACTGTAACCTCAGAAAAACATGCAATAAACTAACCTCACAACAAAATGACTTGGCTTTGTGTTTTTTAAAGGATTGATTCAATAAATGGGAATCTCTTTACCAAAAAGGCCTGACACTTCAAGGAGCAGTATGTCGAGATGTGGCCAAAAGTGGTACTGCAGCCTCTACCACTTTACTATTACACAGAGTAAAGTGCCACAATGAAAACACAGAGAATAAAGTGCTACAACAAAAACAGAGAGTAAAGTGCCACAATGAAAACACAGAGAATAAAGTGCCACAATGAAAACACAGAGTAAAGTGCTACAATGAAAACACAGAGAGTAAAGTGCCACAATGAAAACACAGAGTAAAGTGCCACAATGAAAACACAGAGTAAAGTGCCACAATGAAAACACACAGAGTAAAGTGCCACAATGAAAACACAGAGTAAAGTGCCACAATGAAAACACACAGAGTAAAGTGCTACAATGAAAACACAGAGTAAAGTGCTAAAATGAAAACACAGAGAGTAAAGTGCCACAATGAAAACACAGAGTAAAGTGCTAAAATGAAAACACAGAGAGTAAAGTGCCACAATGAAAACAGAGAGTAAAGTGCCACAATGAAAACACAGAGAATACAGTTCCACAATGAAAACACAGAGTAAAGTGCTACAATGAAAACACAGAGTAAAGTGCCACAATGAAAACACAGAGTAAAGTGCCACAATGAAAACACAGAGTAAAGTGCCACAATGAAAACACACAGAGTAAAGTGCTACAATGAAAACACAGAGTAAAGTGCTAAAATGAAAACACAGAGAGTAAAGTGCCACAATGAAAACACAGAGTAAAGTGCTAAAATGAAAACACAGAGAGTAAAGTGCCACAATGAAAACAGAGAGTAAAGTGCCACAATGAAAACACAGAGAATAAAGTGCCACAATGAAAACACAGAGTAAAGTGCCACAATGAAAACACAGAGTAAAGTGCCACAATGAAAACACACAGAGTAAAGTGCTACAATGAAAACAGAGTAAAGTGCTAAAATGAAAACACAGAGAGTAAAGTGCCACAATGAAAACACAGAGTAAAGTGCTAAAATGAAAACACAGAGAATAAAGTGCCACAATGAAAACACAGAGTAAAGTGCTAAAATGAAAACACAGAGAATAAAGTGCCACAATGAAAACACAGAGTAAAGTGCTACAATGAAAACACAGAGAGTAAAGTGCCACAATGAAAACACAGAGTAAAGTGCTACAATGAAAACACACAGAGTAAAGTGCCACAATGAAAAAACACAGAGTAATAAAGTGCTAAAATGAGACTGAACCATGTGACTTGTTCATAAAAACTGGTGTCAGGACTTATTGTTTTGAGACAGTTTCATTGAACTGAAAACTTGCTTTTGAGGACTTAATAAATGTGCTTGTTCCATTGGCAAATATAGTCAAAATGTACTGAAATTCAAACACATTTTGCCAAATTTGAGCAATATTTGACTTTTTATTTGCTACTTTTTGCAGTGTTGAAAACTCGTGTCAAGAAAAAAGTCCATCCATCCATTTTCTTCCCCTTAATCCATTTCTGGGTCGGGGGGTGGCAGTCAGAGCACCAGCCCCTCACTGATCCTCCTGCAGGTGCTGAGTCCACAGGAGCTGAGATCTTTCAGTGGGGGCTTCAGGCAAAGTGGGGTTAAGTGTCTTGCCCAAGGACACAACGACAGCAGACATCAGTGGGAGTCGTGAAGTAGGTCTCATGGTGAGCTCAAACCCACAACCTTCAGGCTCAAAGGCCAATGCTCTACCAACTGAGCCACTGTCGCCCCTTGTGCTTATTCCATTGGCAAATATGTCTTTAACGCAGTCAAAATGTGCATCTCGCCAAATTTGAGCAATTTTTGACTTTTTTTTCATTACTTTTTGCAATGCTGAAAACTCGGGTCAAGTAAAAGTAATGTGTAAAAATACAAAACCCTCGACCAACATGAGTACATCCATGATCTAATATTTACATCAGACTCTACTAGTCCAGCCCCAGACGGACCAGGTCTACGCAGCGGTGTTCAGAAGAGAATAGGTTCAAATCCAGATTACGGAACATTCCAGGTTGGCCATAAACAAAGCACGGCCCCAGCAGGAGGTCCTCGAGTGACGTTTGAGGACCGGGACAAAGACACGTGCTCGGGCTGTGGGGGGCTGCAGGGGGCTGTGGGGGCTGTGGGGGGCTGTGGGGGTCTGTGGGGGCGGGGCCTCCTCCTGGTGCCGTCTTGGAGCTGGTTTTGGTCTGATCTTTGGTCTTGGTCTAATTTTAGATCAGCCTTTTTGCAGCTGTTGGTCCAAAGTCTTAAACTCGGGTCTAGAGTTTCAGGTCCGTGACTGATGCGGACCCCAGACCCGGTGCTTACACAAAAACCAAAAGTAATTTTTTCTTCATCCGTGAAAAAAAAAGTCTTGAAATCTACCTCTTTGGTGTTAGGCTCGTTTCCGTCAAACTGCATCTCATTTGGTAAAGACCGATATTATCAGAGTTATTAGTGTCTGACATAAAAAAATAAAAATGTCTTTCATCCAGCAGTGAATGTTAAAGTTATAAGAAAGTCATCGATACATTATTGATAATTGTGGGAGAAATGCAGGTTCCCAGTCGCAGCAAAAACACATCCAAACAAACAAAAACAAATATATATATACAATTCTAAAAAGATCTGACAAAAGGCCCCAGCAGCAGCGGCGGAGCGGCCATTTTCACTCACATGTTTTTACAGTCCATCGGGTTATTGGTTCACATGCAGTTACCGTTTCATTCAAATTCAGTTAAAGTTCAGTAAAAACGTAACAAAAATTTGTGAACTTGATCAACAATATTTACAGAAGAGTTTGTGTAAAGTCAGTCATGTTTTGCGTCTGCAGCAATATTTCAGTTTTAACAGAGCATAAGTGTTGAAAATAAGGATTCTATTTTGTTGTTGAGACGGTGAAAGGTTTGGGAAAGGGTCGGAGGGCCACAGACGCTAGCATCGGGCCACATGTGCCCCTGGGCCGCGCTTTGCCCAGGTCTGCTTTAGTGTAATCACAAATGCATGTTTGAAGGTGGATAAGAGGATTTTCTGCCTCCAGGATCATCGAGACTATTGGTCCTCCCAACTGTCAATCATTCTGGTGGTTCGAGCTCGTCCAATAAGAGCAGTTTGGTTCAAAAAGTGGAGAGATTAGAATTTTCAAGTTTTCACAAATCATATAAACGGCAAGACGGCAGTAGCTCGGTTGGTCTTTGGACCTGATGGTCGTGGGTTTCGATCCCACGTTACCTGCTCCCACTGATGTCTGCTGTCGTTGTGTCCTTGGGCAAGACACTTGACCCACTTTGCCTGAAGCCCCCGCTGAAAGACTCCTGTGGACTCAGCACCTGCAGGAGGATCAGAGGAACTGGTGCTCTGAGACTTGGGGAAGCTCTGACCCAGAAAAGGACATTTTTATGGCTAAAGTGTGTTGTGCAGTGAAATAGTTGTTTTGTAATTCATTTAGCTCCAGGATGTGACTCCACTCTACAGGTCTCTCCATGGCCTCGCACCGGGGAACAGCTCGGACTCTGAGGAGCACAGGGACTGGCCTCCTGCTGGTGCCAGGACTCAGAACTAGTCATGGGGAAGCTGCGTTTCAGATTCATGCTGCTAGAGTCTGGAACCGTCTTCCTGAGAATGTGAGACAGGCGTCTACTCTGGCTGTTTTCAAATCTAGGCTGAAAACAGTTGTGTTTAGCTCTGCATACAACTGAAGGATTTTATCTTTCATATTTTTAATGCACTATGACTATTTATGATTTTAATCCCATGTCTGTTTCTCATGTTTTAAGGTTTTTAACTACTTGTGTGATTTTATTTGTTATGGTTTTAATATATCTTGTGCTGTTAATGTGTTTTTTAATGTATACGTAGATTCTAATGTTTGATGATTTATCCCTGATGTGATGTGGACTGTTTGCGTTGCCTCGTGTAGGAAAGGCGCTCTACAAATAAACGTTGATTGATTGATGTCTGGAATAACGGCGCTGTGTTCAGATGTGGCCGTTGTCCTTTGCCCGGTCCCAGATCTGCCCCTGTTTCTTTGCACCAGTCACATCAGCAAACAGGACCGATGGAAGCAACAGAAGACAAACACCAAAGCTCTCATTTTGGATTGTGTCTTTGCGATGACCATGTGGAGTCTTATCGACTCATAGTAAGTAAGTAATCTTTATTTATATACCGCCTTTCACAGACCAGAGTCACAAAGCAGTTTTACAATAGTTATTTTTTGGGCACTTGTCTCTCGCTCCACACAGAGATGGGAGCGGGGTCGCCAGTACAGGAGGCACATGCTAGAACTATTGTACATATTTTTAGTGGTAGGGGAAACCGGAGTACCCGGAGGAAACCTACGCAGACACAGGGAGAACATGCAAACTCCACTCAGAAAGACTCTGGTACGACCGAGATTCAAACCCAGGACCTTCTAGCTGAGAGGCGAGAGTGCTAACCACTCAGTCACCGTGGCGCCCAATAATAGCGAGCCTAGAACCCGTTTCAAGTCAGACTTCCTGGAAGAGGCTGAGCTGCTCTGTGCTCATGTCTCCTTCGAAGGCAACCAAGTTTAAAAATGCCAGAACAATAACTTTTTGTGTAAGCCAGTTTTTCCAGGTTCGACTGTAGTTAAAAATAAGCATTAACATCCTCCTAAAAAACCTTAAAGTCGTGACGTTTTGCTTCCAAAAGGGTGTTTCACGTCTCACCAAGACCTCTCTGGACTTTGGAATAAAAAGGTCAACAACATAAACTTAGATCATAGAATATATAAATAAGAATATGTTTGTGTGTTCTTGCTGGACTAAATAGGTCTGTACCAGGACTAATGCTGTACTAAAGCAGGTCTAAACCAGGACTAGAGCTGGACTGTAGCAGGTCTAAACCAGGACTAGAGCTGTACTAAAGCAGGTCTAAACCAGGACTAGAGCTGGACTGTAGCAGGTCTAAACCAGGACTAGAGCTGTACTAAAGCAGGTCTAAACCAGGACTAGAGCTGGACTGTAGCAGGTCTAAACCAGGACTAATGCTGTACTAAAGCAGGTCTAGACCAGGACTAGAGCTGTACTAAAGCAGGTCTAAACCAGGACTAGAGCTGGACTGTAGCAGGTCTAAACCAGGACTTCCCAAGGACTAAACCAGAACCAAACCAGGCCTAATGCAGGACTAAAGCTGGTCTAAACCAGATCTAAACCATGACTAATGCTGGACTAAAGCAGGCCTAAACCAGAACTAAGGCTGGACTAAAGCAGGCCTAAACCAGAACTAAGGCTGGACTAAAGCAGGCCTAAACCAGAACTAAGGCTGGACTAGAGCAGGTCTAAACCAGGACTAATGCTGGATGTTTTAGAGCTGCAGTTTAACCAGGAGGAGCCCTTTTAATTCAATATTAAATGACAATAATATGGCAGAATGAAAAGTACATTTATCATAGAAAAGGGAAAATCATTTATTTTTTTAACATTTTTATTGGATTTTGAAAAGCACTTTTACAGTGGAATGAAACATGGACTAAATACAGAAGCCACGACTCTCAGAGAAAATCCAGATCTCAGTCCAAAAAACAAACAAGAGAAATGCCCTGAAACTGATCAGGGTTTTGGTCTCAGCGAAGGGACTAGAACATGTGAGCATCTGTGCAACCGTTTAAGTCTCAACATTCAAGGAAAACAGTAAGAGCATTATTTTGGATGGCATCAAGTCAGAGAATGTCATTTTTGGAATCATAAAATCACACTAAGGAAATATTCACCTGTGATGTGTTTTCTGAATGAGTCGAGTAGAAACAAAAAGTGAAACACTGAGAATCAAAAAAAACATGACTAAAGAAAAGTCTCAAACCGTTACAAGTCAAACCTGAAGAAACGACAAGAAAAATCCAAAACAAAAAGTGAAAACCTCCCGCCCAAAGAACAGGTGCAATCCAACAGATTAAAGTGACGAGTTTGGACCAATCAGAGCGCAGAGCAGCGATGACACGTGCTGTTGCCGGGCAGAGGAGCCCACACGGAGCAGGCCGAAGCTTCAATCAGACTTTTTGTCACTTGTGGCCTGAAAAAAAAGAGATTTGATCAAAACATGAAGGACTTTGGGCCCATTTCAGCCGCAGTATTGATGGTATACATTTATGGTATACGTTTATGGTACACATTTATATTATATATCTATATCATATATTTATAATGAGAGAAAGCAGATCTGCAGCAGCTGTATTTATAAACCACTACTGTTGACATGCACAGGAAATATCATGTAACGTTAACCACTCAGAAAATCAGAGTTCACCTTAACACCCTCAAGACTTTAACGCTCACGGATCCAGTTTAGACTTTGGTAGGATTCAGAATGTTACGTAGATATTGGTTGAAAAAATTGTCTCAAAAGATATTATGATTTGCGTGTTCCCAGATTCCTCTGCGCAGTAGAAGTTGCTAAAAGAAAACTGTTTTATATATTGTCACATTTCATTTCTGCTGCTGCTGGACACATCTCTCCTACGGGGATCAATCAAGTATGGATCGATCAGGACGGGTCAAATGCAGAGGACAATGACGCTCAGAAAGACCCTGCTCCGACCAGGATTCAAACCCAGGACCTTCTTGCTGAGCAGAGAGCGTGCTAACCACTCAGACGTTCACATTTTTGAGCCATGAGGTCGTGCTTTACCAGGAGCTTGCTGTGTTCCTCCAGCAGCCGGTCGTACTCCACGGTCAGGTTCTCCGACTGCTTCTTCATGGCCCGGACGTCACTGTCGGACTTCTGCAGAGCTGCAAAACAACACGGCTTTAGAACGGGCTTCAGAGCAGATACACATTTGTCCCTGGTGTGTCCGGGTCGTCTCGGGTCAGTTGGCTCCTGACGGGGAACGGAGAAAAACATGACTTCACTCCGACACTGGACTCATTCACGACACTCACACCTGAATGTTTAGGACCAGCTCCAGGGACTTGTTATGAAATCTGAAAGACGGAGTTTCGTAACCGTGGAAAAACAAATTGCTGTTTTCATGATAGTGAGTAATCTTTATTTATAAGAACTCACTTTTCTCAGAACAAAGCGCTTTATAAATGATATTTTTGGGCATTTGTCTCTAACTCCACACAGAGATGGGAGCGGGGCCAGTACAGGAGGCACAGACCTATTGTACATGTTTAAAGTGGTAGGGGAAACCGGAGGAAACCTACGTAGACACGGGGAGAACATGCAAACTCCACTCAGAAAGGCCCTGTTCCGACCGGGATTTGAACCCAGGACTTTCTTGCTGAGAAGCGAAAGTTCTATCCACTCAGCCACCGTGCCGCCCGAAAATAGTAGGTAAGTAAGTATTTTATAAAGCGCATTTTACAGACCAGGGTCACCCAAAGTGCTTCACAACGTCCAGATCAGATATTTTTCCATTCACACACATGAAGAAATTGAAACTTGAACACACTGGACTATCAAAGTCAAACACCATCCATCCATTCACTACATTCAGAACCATTGTACATGTTTTTTAGTAGTAGGGGAAACCGGAGAAAACCTACACTGGCACGGAGAGAACATGTAAACTCCACTCAGAAAGGCCCTGACGGGGATTCGAACCCAGGACCCAGGAAGAGGTCGGAACAAGGCCTCTCTAGGAAGAAGCTGGAACAAGGCCGCTCTAGGAAGAAGCCGGAACAAGGCCTCTCTAGGAAGAAGCCGGAACAAGGCCTCTCTAGGAAGAAGCCGGAACAAGGCCGCTCTAGGAAGAAGCCGGAACAAGGCCTCTCTAGGAAGAAGCCGGAACAAGGCCTCTCTAGGAAGAAGCTGGAACAAGGCCTCTCTAGGAAGAAGCTGGAACAAGGCCGCTCCAGAATTTCCAGAGGAGTCATTTACAATCCTCAGGGCTCGGTTTAGGTGTCTTTTGTTCAGATCTTTTCTTTGGCTGTGATTTCTAAGGCGCAGTGGTAAAATCTCAGCAAGATCTTAGAGCTTTCTTATCAGTGTGGTTGGTGTTTTTGTCCAATCTCAAACCTGAAAACAACACAGTTCAGGACTGTCACCAACAATGATTTTGAGAATTGACTCGTTTTTCTACATTTGTCCAAAACCCAAGCATGGATAATTTACAGATCGCATGTAAAATGTCACTCTTAATTCTATGTGAGGCTAAAACAACAAAACATAACAATTTCAATTATGATTATTTACATGATTAACTGAGAGTTGTGCTGAAACCCTGCAGTTGGGACCCGAGCCCTGTGCGGTCTTCACATCAACCTGATAAAAACAAAAACATGTGCGCGGTACAGTTTGATACAGTTTGAGCTCCCATGATGCACTGGCTCTGACTCTTTGACGCAGACTACAGAGGACTTTCTTCGTACCTTTCTTGGAGGAGTCGAGTTCCTCTTTGAGCGTCTTCAGTTCAGATTTCAGAGTTTTGTTTTCCTCCTGGAGTCCAGCGCCTTCCCCGACCCCTGGGATCTCGATGCCAGCGTCACGCAGCTTCTAAACTCACAGAAAAGACACAAATATCACACATTAATAACAAATATAACTGTACAGACCACGTCAGGGTCCGGTACACTAGAGCAGGGGCGTCCAAACTTTTTAGTAGAACGGCCACTTTAGTTCACCAGAGTAGTAAACTTCACACCTCAAAAAAGGTACTTCAATTTCTCTAGTCGTCATTAAAGGGCCCTAATCTGTCATCATTAAAGGGCCCTAATCTGTCGTCATTAAAGGGCCCTTATCTGTCGTCATTAAAGGGCCCTAATCTGTCATCATTAAAGGGCCCTAATCTGTCATCATTAAAGGGCCCTAATCTGTCATCATTAAAGGGCCCTAATCTGTCATCATTAAAGGGCCCTAATCTGTCATCATTAAAGGGCCCTAATCTGTCGTCATTAAAGGGCCCTAATCTGTCGTCATTAAAGGGCCCTAATCTGTCGTCATTAAAGGGCCCTAATCTGTCGTCATTAAAGGGCCCTAATCTGTAGTCATTAAAGGGCCCTAATCTGTCGTCATTAAAGGGCCCTAATCTGTCGTCATTAAAGGGCCATAATCTGTCATAATAAACTGCTCTTTTCCAATACTTCTTTAACTTGTAAGTCGTTCAGAGATATTTGAATTTCTAAATTAGTTTTCCAGCCTCTAAATCTTGTTATTGTTTTCATTTCCAGGATTTCAAACCAGGATTTCTATCTTTGTGAAAAAGGTGTTGGTTATGCTGCTGCTTTAACAATATTCTCTTTTCACATTATTTTGACCAATCATATGACTTTGTACCACGGCCCACTGGTTGAAAATCATTGCGTAACAGAATAAGCCGCAGTAACAAGTAGACGACTGAAATACACCGTTTCCAGATGTGAAAGGAGACTTCTTTCAGCGACTTGAATCATTTCACAGTTGTGTAGAAAAAGATGGTTCCAAAGGTTTAAAAGTAGGTCAGAGACTGCTCTCGGAGACAGTACGGACACAGACAGGTGCGAATACCAAATACTCACCACAGCTGTTTGGAAAGTACCTCACTGACCTCAGGAAACCAACTTCATATTATTATGCAAGTATGTTCAAAACCCTTCGACTACAACATCATACTTTGAGCAACAACATCCGGAGTTAGAGGCCCAGGTGGCATCAGGATGGGTCAAATGCAGAGTAAGGCCCCATTCCGACCAGGATTGATGAGGAGCGAGAGCTAACCACTCAGCCACCGTGCAGCCTGTATCCATAATTAGCCTTTATGATGGATAATTTGTTGATACAGGTTAACATTACAGGTTGATTCTGTGATTTGACCTTTAATGTTTTAATGTTTGTAATTACATGTGTGATTTTTATTGTGTTTTTAAAATTTAGATTTTGGAGTTTGTTGTATGTGATTTGTGCCTTGTGTGGTGTGGACTGAAGCGTGTTGTGTTACCCTGTGTAGGAAAAGCGCTCTATAAATAAATATTGATTTATTGATTGATTTGCAGGTGTCCATATCGGGACAGAGGAGGTACAGCGTGGTAGGACCAGGCGGGCGAAGGGGGGGGGGCAAGGGGCTCATAAACCAGACTTTATGACATTGAACCGAGTCCAGTGCAAAGTTAGACCCTCGTGGCTTTGATCCTCACAGGGGGCTGCTGCAGTTAACTAGACTGTCAGTGTAGAGTTGCATGCGTCCCAACATGTGGAGCCAAGCCTCACACACAAACAGTCCAAGCAAAGTCCTGTTAACTTACCACTTACCAAACTAGAAGTTTACACTAGAGATAACTACCATCGGCGGATAAAAATAACATTGGTCAATGGTAGCGCGTGTGAAGAGTCACCAGTAGGGGGCGACTGTGCTCTCTCCTCATAAGAAGAAACGAAGAAGATGGCGGTGTCGAGTGGCGATGTTTGACAGTTTCAGAAAAAGATCAGTGTTTGTAGTTTGTACGAGTTCAGGGAGTTTTAAACAGCTGTTATAAAATCATTTAAAGAATCTGATTGGACGATTGAGAAAGAGGCGGAGACTGAGACTGCAGGAAGCTGAAGGAAAACAGAAAACTGAAGCCGCCAAGAAATATGTAAATAAAAATATAAAAAAGGAACCAAGGAAGCATGAAAGCATTGAGCTACTTTTACAGTGGCATCCAGCCAACTTCAGCTTCACCAGTGTAGTCCTTTTTGCCTGATTTTTTTCTCAATTTAAAAAAGGTAACTCCAGCAACACTACAGCCCGGACTGTAACTTGAAAAGATCCCAAAAAGAACTGAAAAGAAAAATCCAAGCAGTCTGTAAAAATCGGCTCAAAAGTGGTACTGCAGCCTCTCCCACTCTCCCTGACTCAGGTTGCCAGATATGCAGACGAATCCAGTTGGGACCATAACAGCTGAATAGACAAGAGTTTTGTCAACAACAAATCTATAACCAACACCTTTTTCACAAAGATAGAAATCCTGGTTTTATTCCTTGTTTTGTCGTTAATGATTTGAGAATCATAACGAGACCTTTTTTAGTTCTGAGCCACATGGTACTTTACCAGTGAGATTAGCTTGAGTGAGTTCTGGCGCCCGGATCACAGACTTTCTGATTGGTGAAACGGTGGAGGGCGGGACATCAAAATGAAAACAATAACAAGATTTAGAGGCTGGAAAAGTGATTTAGAAATTCAAATATCTCTGAACTACTGTTATCAGTTAAAGAAGTATTGGAAAAGAGCAGATTATTATTATTATTATGACAGATTAGGGCCCTTTAAGGATGATGAATTAGGGCCCTTTAAGGATGACCAGACAGGAGTATTATAAACTAAATCTATAAAACACACATTACAGTGGTCCTCAGTTCAACACTAGAGCTTTCAGAGGTTATCGAGGGAATGTGTGATAAAGAAAAGAGCAGAATGTCAATAAATTATGTTTGTCCAGTGAACACACAAACATCTTCCTGTAATCTGATCTGGGGTCACCCCCGTTTAACACCACAGGGTCACCTCTACAAATAGGACTAGGTAAAAATGAGAAGGGGCTCAACAGGCGCTGCAGTGTCATCAAGCGTCCAGTAGTCTGGGTAGTAAAGGGAGTAAATAAATAAGGTAGTGGGCAAAAAAGTAAACAAATAGTAGTAGTGGGTAAGGTAGTGGGTACGGTAGTGGGTACGGTAGTGGGTACGGTAGTGGGTACGGTAGTGGGTACGGTAGTGGGTACGGTAGTGGGTACGGTAGTGGGTACGGTAGTGGGTGAGTACGGTAGTGGGTAAGGTAGTGAGTGAGTACGGTAGTGGGTACGTCGGTAGTGGGTACGTCGGTAGTGGGTACGTCGGTAGTGGGTACGTCGGTAGTGGGTACGTCGGTAGTGGGTACGTCTGTAGTGGGTACGTCTGTAGTGGGTACGTCTGTAGTGGGTACGTCTGTAGTGGGTACGTCTGTAGTGGGTACGTCTGTAGTGGGTACGTCTGTAGTGGGTACGTCTGTAGTGGGTACGTCTGTAGTGGGTAAGGTAGCGAGTAAGGTAGCGGGTAAGGTAGCGGGTAAGGTAGTGGGTAAGGTAGTGAGTAAGGTAGTGGGGTAAGGTAGTGGGTAAGGTAGCGGGTAAGGTAGTGGGTAAGGTAGTGGGTAAGGTAGTGAGTAAGGTAGTGAGTAAGGTAGTGAGTAAGGTAGTGAGTAAGGTAGTGAGTAAGGTAGTGAGTAAGGTAGTGGGGTAAGGTAGTGGGTAAGGTAGCGGGTAAGGTAGTGGGTAAGGTAGTGAGTAAGGTAGTGGGGTAAGGTAGTGGGTAAGGTAGTGGGGTAAGGTAGTGGGTAAGGTAGTGAGTAAGGTAGTGAGTAAGGTAGTGAGTAAGGTAGTGAGTAAGGTAGTGGGTAAGGTAGTGGGTAAGGTAGTGGGTAAGGTAGTGGGTAAGGTAGTGGGTAAGGTAGTGGGTAAGGTAGTGAGTAAGGTAGTGGGGTAAGGTAGTGGGTAAGGTAGTGGGTAAGGTAGTGAGTAAGGTAGTGGGGTAAGGTAGTGGGTTAAGGTAGTGGGTACGGTAGTGGGGTAAGGTAGTGGGTAAATAAGGTAGTGAATAAGGTAGTGACTAAGGTAGTGACTAAGTCCACACTGTTGGTCCTCCCGGTGATCCGCACGTGAAGGTGTAGTCACGATCCTAGGACCCTCGTGCGCACACTCTGGGTGTAACTGATGCCGGTTGTAAAGTGGAAGCTTCAAATCTTTTCTCAGATATTTTTAACTCCTTTTAAAAAAATGCTCTCCTCAGCACAAAGTTTGCAAACAGCAACAACAACTAAAAGAAATCCACTAAATATCTGGCTTTCCCGAAGAGCAGTGGAGCAAAGATCAAGAGCAAAAACACAATCCAGGATTCAATATTAAATAAAATGTAATTTTGTTTAAAATTCAGTGAGTGGTCTTATTGGACGAGCACGTATCACCAGAATGATTGACAGTTGGGAGGACCAAGAGTCTTGATCTGTCATAATAACAAACTGCTCTTTTCCAATCCTTCTTTAACTGATAACAGTAGTTCAGAGATATTTGAATTTCTAAATTACTTTTCCAGCCTCTAAATCTTGTTATTGTTTTCATTTCGATGTCCCGCCCTCCACCGTTTCACCAATCAGAAAGTCTGTGATCCGGGCGCCAGAACTCACTGCATGGAGCTAATCTCACTGGTAAAAATTCTGATTCTCAAATAAAAACTATTCCTGCTCATGAACAAGTTAAAAGCAGTTAGAGGGTACTTAACAGAGAAGTCTTACTCTTAAAGTAGTGAGCTTATCTGGGAAGGTTGTAAATAAAAGTAAGTAAGTACAAATATGACAAGAGTAAATAAAGGCATAAACAAAAGGTTGTGTGGGTGTGACATGCAGCTGTGAATAAGAGTCACATGGAGCTGATGGAGAGGCTACTTTTATAACAGGCTCCAGTGACATGCTTCTCTACACAACACAGTAATATTGGCCACACACTGCCACCTACAGGAGACGGGGGGAACTACTGTTTATGGACTTCCTACAATGTGCACATGGCAGGCCCAGTCCTTCATTCACTCATTTTAACACTCTGAATCGGCTAGCGTAAAATAAGTAGCATGGTGGTGGAGGACACTGGTGTAGACAAAGAGCAGTGCTGCCCCCTACTGCAGGGAGATGGGATGGCAGCTTAACAAGTAGGGCTGAGCAATTTATCAAAGTTTAAAACAACCGTGGAGTCAAAACTAGAGCACTAACCAGAGGAGACCAATATACAAAGGCGCAGGACTAAATTCAGCCAAATGGTGGCGTAATTCAGAGGAAGACTTCATTATGGAAGACTTTGCCGGAACACATACAAAACTGTGGGAGAAAACATTCAAAGGAGTCCTCCCATAGATGATCTGCTCTTCCGTGGACTTTCTGCTTCTCTTCTCTTTTACATTCTTTTTGTTGTTCTTGTCAACTTATAGTTTGTACTTTTACCTACTGTGCGTTTGTGTGTCTCTCACATGCCTCAGGACAACAGATGCAATTTAGCCATCGTGCTAATTCCAGCATATTTAGCTTGACGCTGTTTGCAGACACATTGATTAATATGTACGGTCCTAAATTTACATTAATCAAATAAAATCAAGGTAGAATGAATTAACATTTATGATTTATGGATTGGAGCAGAGGAGTGACTCAAATTTGGGAGATCACAATAACACAAAATGCAAACAAAGATCACATGTGTTTATGGGATTACACAGACAGTGATGTGTGTATGTTTTTACCTTCATTTCCATGCACTTATGAAGCAGAAAAATGTGTAGAGAAACATCAAACGCACGTCAAACACACAAAAGGCAGGGAAATGTCATTGTGCCCAGATAATCCACTCGACTTACCTCCTGCAGGAGCTCGTTCTCGTCCATGTACTTCTTGGCCGCAGAGCTCGCTCCTTCGGCCTGTTTCTTGAAGGCTTCGTTGGACGCCATCAGAGTGGCCTGCTGGGACAGGAGTGTGGCCAGTCTACGGAGCAACCTACAAGAGAACAGGTGGAATGACGCTGGATGGACTTCCAATTGGTTTGCCTGGCTCCTCTAAACTTAGTGAGGTGTTGACAGCAGTGATATTCAGTGTTATTTAACTAAAATAATATCATACAGCCGCCCATACACACACACCTGTTCAGATGGGGCTCAAACACATCTCCATTTCTGACTTAGCCTGGTCTTAGCCATCGGTAAACTGAATTATCATCTCCTACATGTACGTCTGGTCTTACCATGTGTAAACTCTGGTCCATGATCATCTCCTACATGTACGTCTGGTCTTACCATGTGTAAACTCTGGTCCATGATCATTTCCTACATGTACGTCTGGTCTTACCATGTGTAAACTCTGGTCCATGATCATTTCCTACATGTACGTCTGGTCTTACCATGTGTAAACTCTGGTCCATGATCATTTCCTACATGTACGTCTGGTCTTACCATGTGTAAACTCTGGTCCATGGTCATCTCCTACATGTACGTCTGGTCTTACCATGTGTAAACTCTGGTCCATGATCATTTCCTACATGTACGTCTGGTCTTACCATGTGTAAACTCTGGTCCATGATCATTTCCTACATGTACGTCTGGTCTTACCATGTGTAAACTCTGGTCCATGGTCATCTCCTACATGTACGTCTGGTCTTACCATGTGTAAACTCTGGTCCATGATCATTTCCTACATGTACGTCTGGTCTTACCATGTGTAAACTCTGGTCCATGATCATTTCCTACATGTACGTCTGGTCTTACCATGTGTAAACTCTGGTCCATGGTCATCTCCTACATGTACGTCTGGTCTTACCATGTGTAAACTCTGGTCCATGATCATCTCCTACATGTACATCTGGTCTTACCATGTGTAAACTCTGGTCCATGGTCATTTCCTACATGTACATCTGGTCTTACCATGTGTAAACTCTGGTCCATGGTCATTTCCTACATGTACGTCTGGTCTTACCATGTGTAAACTCTGGTCCATGATCATTTCCTACATGTACGTCTGGTCTTACCATGTGTAAACTCTGGTCCATGATCATTTCCTACATGTACGTCTGGTCTTACCATGTGTAAACTCTGGTCCATGGTCATCTCCTACATGTACGTCTGGTCTTACCATGTGTAAACTCTGGTCCATGATCATTTCCTACATGTACGTCTGGTCTTACCATGTGTAAACTCTGGTCCATGATCATTTCCTACATGTACGTCTGGTCTTACCATGTGTAAACTCTGGTCCATGGTCATCTCCTACATGTACGTCTGGGTCTTACCATGTGTAAACTCTGGTCCATGATCATCTCCTACATGTACGTCTGGTCTTACCATGTGTAAACTCTGGTCCATGGTCATCTCCTACATGTACGTCTGGTCTTACCATGTGTAAACTCTGGTCCATGGTCATTTCCTACATGTACGTCTGGTCTTACCATGTGTAAACTCTGGTCCATGATCATTTCCTACATGTACGTCTGGTCTTACCATGTGTAAACTCTGGTCCATGATCATTTCCTACATGTACGTCTGGTCTTACCATGTGTAAACTCTGGTCCATGATCATTTCCTACATGTACGTCTGGTCTTACCATGTGTAAACTCTGGTCCATGATCATTTCCTACATGTACGTCTGGTCTTACCATGTGTAAACTCTGGTCCATGATCATCTCCTACATGTACGTGTGGTCTTACCATGTGTAAACTCTGGTCCATGATCATCTCCTACATGTACGTCTGGGTCTTACATGTTTAGTAAATGTCATTGAAGCAAAGATGTTGTGGCTCTACTCCCCACGGGCTCCGTTAGCGGCAAAGGAGATGGCTAAAGCTAGGCTACATGCTAAAGCTAGGCAACATGCTAAATGCTAACGACTCACTCGGGCTCATTACATACGTCACGGTAAACTTAGATCCAATGGTTTCAATCTGCAAAAGGAGATAGCCCCTCCCACCTGTTAACGAAGTCAATGGAGCAAATCCAGACCTTAGTACAAATGAAAGTACCATGGTGCGGTAAGACCAGGCTATTTCTGACCCCATTCCTCGCACTAAATTAGCACAGAGGGGTTTGTTACATTGTGGTGAAGTGATACTCGTATATTTAGATTCCGTTTGGTGAAGACAGCTGATGACAGACGGAGGATGGAGAGCTGGACATGTTTGGACGTGCAGGAAGGACACATTCAAACAGTTTAGCCGCTAATAAAAAATATATATTCTGAGTTCTGGCTCAGCCCTTTTCGATTACACCAAACAAACATTTCAATTTGTTTGAGTTGTGGTGATATTGAGGCTGGAGTCATTTGTTTGGAGTAGTTTAACATCAAGCAAATGAATATAACCAAATCAAGAGTATCTTTCATAATACGATTCTTGAATACATTAAAAACAGTACAGCTCATGGATCCAGCGAAGCCATTTTGGATTTTTCATGACATTTTGAAGCAACTGCGGTTAAAGCTGAGTACTTTTCCACCGGAATGTTTCTATGATCTGAAGTTTGAAGCTACTGGCATCGTGGCAAAAGCTGATTGGACTGTGTATGCCATGGGTGCCGAAGTCAAGGCCTGATAATGAATGATCTTGGCCCCGGGATGATATTTGATTAGTTTCAGAACCGGCCGCACAGAGACAGAAGAAAATATTGGATTATTCATTTAATAATTAAATAAAATACAGTCCACTGTGGTAGGTCTTGGTTCAATAGTTTTATGAGTCATTAAAATACGTTTTAAGGCCATCGGCTTGCAGCAAATTTGTTTGTCACATGCTGATCGTGTCTCGTCTCTACCGTCGGCAATAAAAACATGTCTTCTGTCTGACGGAAGACACCATAACAAACGGTTCCGAAGGTGATGATGTTTGTGCAGGGAGTGGGGAGTAGATGTAGTACGAGACGACAGAACACATTCTACAGCTGCAGCAAAAGCATGAATGAACCTACAGCCCATTCATAACGTTAGACTGGATACATGACGGCAGAGCGGGGTCCTGATGAGTGCATGGAAGCAGAGAAGGTGGTTCAGCTGCTGTCGTTTGGTATGAGCTGACACAACACGTCTCACCACTTAACAGAAAGACTGAGATGAGTTCAGAGCCACCAGGGACAGCTGAGGGCACAGACTGCTCCCTCTAATGGCCACTGAAGGTAACTACAGGGTGAGCCTGGGAACACCCATGCTGCTGTGTGCGCTCAAATCCATTCCAACTGCACAACAGATATTACAAATTCAATCAAAATATTGAGTCTGGTGTTATCAAAGCTCTAATCTAATATCGAGCTGAGGCAAAAGTCAAAAAAAAAGCTATTTGAAGTTTGAATATAGTAATTATCAACGTCTAAATTATAACTCTAGGCCGAGGCTAAAGAGGCCGAGGCTAAAGAGGCCGAGGCTAAAGAGGCCGAGGCTAAAGAGGCCGAGGCTAACGAGGCCGAGGCTAACGAGGCCGAGGCTAACGAGGCCGAGGCTAACGAGGCCGAGGCTAACGAGGCCGAGGCTAACGAGGCCGAGGCTAACGAGGCCGAGGCTAAAGAGGCCGAGGCTAAAGAGGCCGAGGCTAAAGAGGCCGAGGCTAAAGAGGCCGAGGCTAAAGAGGCCGAGGCTAAAGAGGCCGAGGCTAAAGAGGCCGAGGCTAAAGAGGCCGAGGCTAAAGAGGCCGAGGCTAAAGAGGCCGAGGCTAAAGAGGCCGAGGCTAAAGAGGCCGAGGCTAAAGAGGCCGAGGCTAAAGAGGCCGAGGCTAACGAGGCCGAGGCTAAAGAGGCCGAGGCTAAAGAGGCCGAGGCTAAAGAGGCCGAGGCTAAAGAGGCCGAGGCTAAAGAGGCCGAGGCTAAAGAGGCCGAGGCTAAAGAGGCCGAGGCTAAAGAGGCCGAGGCTAAAGAGGCCGAGGCTAAAGAGACCGAGGCTAAAGAGACCGAGGCTAAAGAGACCGAGGCTAACGAGACCGAGGCTAAAGAGGCCGAGGCTAAAGAGGCCGAGGCTAAAGAGGCCGAGGCTAAAGAGACCGAGGCTAAAGAGACCGAGGCTAAAGAGACCGAGGCTAAAGAGACCGAGGCTAAAGAGGCCGAGGCTAAAGAGACCGAGGCTAAAGAGGCCGATGCTAAAGAGACCGAGGCTAACGAGACCGAGGCTAAAGAGACCGAGGCTAAAGAGGCCGAGGCTAAAGAGACCGAGGCTAAAGAGACCGAGGCTAACGAGGCCGAGGCTAAAGAGGCCGAGGCTAACGAGGCCGAGGCTAAAGAGACCGAGGCTAAAGAGACCGAGGCTAAAGAGACCGAGGCTAACGAGACCGAGGCTAAAGAGACCGAGGCTAACGAGACCGAGGCTAAAGAGACCGAGGCTAACGAGGCCGAGGCTAACGAGGCCGAGGCTAAAGAGGCCGAGGCTATAGAGACCGAGGCTAAAGAGACCGAGGCTAAAGAGGCCGAGGCTAAAGAGACCGAGGCTAAAGAGACCGAGGCTACAGAGACCGAGGCTAAAGGGACCGAGGCTAAAGAGACCGAGGCTAAAGAGACCGAGGCTAACGAGGCCGAGGCTAACGAGACCGAGGCTAACGAGACCGAGGCTAACGAGACCGAGGCTAACGAGGCCGAGGCTAACGAGGCCGAGGCTAACGAGGCCGAGGCTAACGAGGCCGAGGCTAACGAGACCGAGGCTAACGAGGCTAAGGCTAACGAGGCCGAGGCTAACGAGGCCGAGGCTAACGAGGCTAAGGATGCATTATATATGAAGTACCAAACTTTGAAACCATAATAGAATATGTAATAAAGTATAAGTACAGTAGTTTCAGCAGATCTAAACCGCCTTAACTCAGATTGATCATATAGAATAATGAAAGATGACGGTTACTCTCAGATTGATCATATAGAATAATGAAAGATGACGGTTACTCTCAGATTGATCATATAGAATAATGAAAGATGACGGTTACTCACAGATTGATCATATAGAATAATGAAAGATGACGGTTACTCACAGATTGATCATATAGAATAATGAAAGATGACGGTTACTCTCAGATTGATCATATAGAATAATGAAAGATGACGGTTACTCTCAGATTGATCATATAGAATAATGAAAGATGACGGTTACTCTCAGATTGATCATATAGAATAATGAAAGATGACGGTTACTCTCAGATTGATCATATAGAATAATGAAAGATGACGGTTACTCTCAGATTGATCATATAGAATAATGAAAGATGACGGTTACTCTCAGATTGATCATATAGAATAATGAAAGATGACGGTTACTCTCAGATTGATCATATAGAATAATGAAAGATGACGGTTACTCTCAGATTGATCATATAGAATAATGAAAGATGACGGTTACTCTCAGATCGATCATATAGAATAATGAAAGATGACGGTTACTCACAGATTGATCATATAGAATAATGAAAGATGACGGTTACTCTCAGATTGATCATATAGAATAATGAAAGATGACGGTTACTCTCAGATTGATCATATAGAATAATGAAAGATGACGGTTACTCTCAGATCGATCATATAGAATAATGAAAGATGACGGTTACTCTCAGATTGATCATATAGAATAATGAAAGATGACGGTTACTCACAGATTGATCATATAGAATAATGAAAGATGACGGTTACTCTCAGATTGATCATATAGAATAATGAAAGATGACGGTTACTCTCAGATTGATCATATAGAATAATGAAAGATGACGGTTACTCTCAGATTGATCATATAGAATAATGAAAGATGACGGTTACTCTCAGATTGATCATATAGAATAATGAAAGATGACGGTTACTCTCAGATTGATCATATAGAATAATGAAAGATGACGGTTACTCTCAGATTGATCATATAGAATAATGAAAGATGACGGTTACTCTCAGATTGATCATATAGAATAATGAAAGATGACGGTTACTCTCAGATCGATCATATAGAATAATGAAAGATGACGGTTACTCACAGATTGATCATATAGAATAATGAAAGATGACGGTTACTCTCAGATTGATCATATAGAATAATGAAAGATGACGGTTACTCTCAGATTGATCATATAGAATAATGAAAGATGACGGTTACTCTCAGATTGATCATATAGAATAATGAAAGATGACGGTTACTCTCAGATTGATCATATAGAATAATGAAAGATGACGGTTACTCTCAGATTGATCATATAGAATAATGAAAGATGACGGTTACTCTCAGATTGATCATATAGAATAATGAAAGATGACGGTTACTCTCAGATTGATCATATAGAATAATGAAAGATGACGGTTACTCTCAGATTGATCATATAGAATAATGAAAGATGACGGTTACTCACAGATTGATCATATAGAATAATGAAAGATGACGGTTACTCACAGACACAGGAGTAAAGCGAATCCCGCGATGTACTCGTTCCTCTGGGCTCGGAAAAGCTTCATGTGGATGTGTTCGACGGCCGTGGGGTTGTTGGTCAGGTCCACTTTCTCCGTGACGCTGTATTTCCGCACTTCTCTGAACGCATCTGAGCAGAAAACACAAAGCGCCATTTCTCAATTTGTTTTTCTAACTTTGCATCAGGTACTTTCATGTCTTAGGGACCAGGTCTGCAGCCGTTAGCTTTACGGGCTACGAACACGGCATCGGGTCCCGGTAACGATGCTTTTTGTTCTGTCCCAATCAAAACAAACATTATTCAAAAAGGTCATTTTGCCTCGAGCTGAAAAACATTTTGTGGTTATTTTGAAAGTCTAGATCAGTGTCTCCCAAAGTGGGGTCCGCGGCCCCCTGGTGGGCCGCGAGGGTACTGCAGGGGGGCCGCGGGAGGTCATAAAAAAAATAAAAAAAATAATATAATTATTTAATGTTAAATTTATAATGTTTTGTTTGTAATATTAAAACATTTGTGTTCGTTATTTGACTTGAATAATCCACTGTAATCATTTTTGTATTACAATGTTTGTAGCAGAGGCTATTTCCCCAAAATAAAATAACCAGAAGAGCCTATTCTTAATGTTGTCTTCTTGGTTATTATTTTGGGGGGCCACGCAGACCCGTCAGATTTTTAAGGGGGCCTCAGTGTTACTGAGTTTGGGAATGGCTGGTCTAGATGTACCACTCTGCCAACATGTGTCGGCTGCAGAGGCTAAAGGCCTCGACGATAAAACTATAAGATATATCGCGATGTATATATAACATGTGTTCGATATCAAAAGGAAACGGGGTCGATAGAATGTTCCTGTATTTTTCTGAGTGAAGTAAAACCAGGAAGTAAAGCCGAGTCAGAAGCACCTCAGTCTCTACAGCTCCATTGTATTTACATTGTGTTTGATCAGATTCTCCGACATGACATATCCTCCAATAAATATGGCACAGGTTTAAACAGGTGTTGAACAACTTAAAACATTATTAATAGTATTCCAGACTCACCGATGAGGAGGAAGACCAAGATGGCGATGGCCACCATGAACCAGGTGTTTCCGTACAAAGCTATGGTCTGCACCAAACGAGACTTGAAAATCTTGCTCCATCTGAATAAAATAAAAAAGTAAAACAAAACTCAATTATATAAATGGATTTAATTCCTTGGACGGGTTTTCACCAGAGAGAGACCAGAGAGAGACCAGAGAGAGAGACCAGAGAGAGAGACCAGAGAGAGAGACCAGAGAGAGAGACCAGAGAGAGAGACCAGAGAGAGAGACCAGAGAGAGACCAGAGAGAGACCAGAGAGAGAGACCAGAGAGAGAGACCAGAGAGAGAGACCAGAGAGAGAGACCAGAGAGAGACGAGAGAGAGAGACCAGAGAGAGAGACCAGAGAGAGAGACCAGAGAGAGACCAGAGAGAGACCAGAGAGAGAGACCAGAGAGAGACCAGAGAGAGACCAGAGAGAGAGACCAGAGAGAGACCAGAGAGAGAGACCAGAGAGAGAGACCAGAGAGAGACCAGAGAGAGAGACCAGAGAGAGACCAGAGAGAGACCAGAGAGAGACCAGAGAGAGACCAGAGAGAGAGACCAGAGAGAGACCAGAGAGAGACCAGAGAGAGAGACCAGAGAGAGAGACCAGACAGAGAGACCAGACAGAGAGACCAGAGAGAGAGACCAGAGAGAGAGACCAGAGAGAGAGACCAGAGAGAGAGACCAGAGAGAGAGACCAGAGAGAGAGACCAGAGAGAGAGACCAGAGAGAGACCAGAGAGAGAGACCAGAGAGAGAGACCAGAGAGAGACCAGAGAGAGAGACCAGAGAGAGAGACCAGAGAGAGAGACCAGAGAGAGAGAGACCAGAGAGAGAGACCAGAGAGAGAGACCAGAGAGAGAGACCAGAGAGAGACCAGAGAGAGACCAGAGAGAGACCAGAGAGAGAGACCAGAGAGAGAGACCAGAGAGAGACCAGAGAGAGACCAGAGAGAGACCAGAGAGAGAGACCAGAGAGAGAGACCAGAGAGAGACCAGAGAGAGACCAGAGAGAGAGACCAGAGAGAGAGACCAGAGAGAGAGAGCAGAGAGAGAGACCAGAGAGAGAGACCAGAGAGAGAGACCAGAGAGAGAGACCAGAGAGAGACCAGAGAGAGACCAGAGAGAGACTAGAGAGAGACCAGAGAGAGACCAGAGAGAGACCAGAGAGAGAGACCAGAGAGAGACCAGAGAGAGACCAGAGAGAGACCAGAGAGAGACCAGAGAGAGACCAGAGAGAGAGACCAGAGAGAGAGACCAGAGAGAGACCAGAGAGAGAGACCAGAGAGAGACCAGAGAGAGACCAGAGAGAGAGAGAGAGACCAGAGAGAGAGACCAGAGAGAGACAAAACTCAATTATATAAATGGATTTAATTCCTTGGACGGGTTTTCAGGTGAATCCAAACGATATAAATGTTATAACAGTAAATGGGTAAAGTCTGGGATTCACTGGTGGCGCGTGTGAAGAGTCACCAGTAGGGGGCGTCTGTGCTCTCTCCTCAGAAGAACAATCAAAGATGGCGGAGGTCGTGTGGCGATGTTTGACAGACTCAGAAGATCAGAGTTTGTAGTTTGCACGAGATCAGGGAGATTTAAAGAGCTGCGAGAAAATCATTTAAAGAATCGGATTGGACGATTGAGAAAAGGGCGGAGACAGAGACTGCAGGAAGCTGAAGGAAAATGATAAACTGAAGCCGCCGAGAAATATATAAATAAATAAATAGAGACCGGAGAGAGACCAGAGAGAGAGAGACCAGAGAGAGAGACCAGAGGGAGAGACCAGAGAGAGAGAGACCAGATGGAGAGCAGAGAGAGAGACCAGAGAGAGAGACCAGAGAGAGAGACCAGAGAGAGGGACCAGAGAGAGAGACCAGAGAGAGAGACCAGAGAGAGAGACCAGAGAGAGAGACCAGAGAGAGAGACCAGAGAGAGAGAGACCAGAGAGAGAGAGACCAGAGAGAGAGAGACCAGAGAGAGAGACCAGAGAGAGAGACCAGATGGAGAGCAGAGAGAGAGACCAGAGAGAGAGACCAGACAGAGGGACCAGAGAGAGAGACCAGAGAGAGACCAGAGAGAGAGACCAGAGAGAGAGAGACCAGAGAGAGAGAGACCAGAGAGGGAGACCAGAGAGAGAGACCAGACAGAGAGACCAGAGAGGGAGACCAGAGAGAGAGACCAGAGAGAGAGACCAGAGAGAGAGACCAGAGAGAGAGACCAGAGAGAGAGACCAGAGAGAGAGACCAGAGAGAGAGACCAGAGAGAGAGACCAGAGAGAGACCAGAGAGAGAGACCAGAGAGAGAGACCAGAGAGAGAGACCAGAGAGAGACCAGAGAGAGAGACCAGAGAGAGACGATTGAGAAAGAGGCGGAGACAGAGACCGCAGGAAGCTGAAGGAAAACAGAAGCCGCCAAGAAATATTTATCAGGGTTTGTTCTCACTAAAAGTACAAAAGTCTGAGAAAAGGCCAAACATCAGACGTTAATAATCCTCAGATCTATGATGGTCATGTGTTCAGATCCCTCTGTGTCCAGTAGAAGAGTCTAGAACTAAAGTGTCTCTGATCCTTTGAATGAACTTTGTTACATATTTTCAGATCCACTTTTGATTCAAACAAACTCATATTTTCATTTTCAACCAATTCAAAGTGAAACCAGAACATTATTTTTATTCTATAGTTTAATTTTTTGAGAAGAATTGACAGAAATCATCACGACCATTACACATTTTTCAGGTCATTTGAATTTGTATTGATTTTATTTATTTTTTGAATCTTGTGGGATTTAATCTGCTGCTTTTTCAGACTGTCTCCGAGTCTCAGAATGATCCAATCAGAGGCTGGTCTGATTGGATCATTCCTCTCAGATCAGTATTTAGTGAATCATGTCCTTTTGGTTTTATCCACTCTTTCTCTTTGTGACACTTGTGAACGCACTCGTATATATAAAAAACAAAATCTCCCAACGTGTGCGTCCCTGGTCAAGACCTTTCAAATGGAACTTCAGGATTACTTTGCCACACATCAGTTTAGTAAAACCTTTTCAAATCTAACTTTGAAAATCCAGAGACTCTTTAACCCTCAGGTTCGTCATGGCCCGAGTGACAATAATTCAATAACAAGTTGTATGTGTTCAATCTGTCAAAGGAGGTCTGTGATTATGCCTCAGAGAACACGACACAGACAAGACTTTCTCTGTTCCAGAAAAACTGCAGATAATTTCATCAACGGCCGAGGCCAAGATTACGTTAACTGTTTACCTGAACTTTACAGAACACTCCGGACTAAACCTCCCAAAGGATGTAAGATTGTTTTTGTGTCTTTTTGTGCTCAGAATGTGGGCGTTAAAGCAGCAATATGTAAGATTTTCATGTAAAGTCATCATCAAAGGGCCATAATCTGTCGTCGTTAAAGGGCCATAATCTGTCATCGTTAAAGGGCCCTAATCTGTCATCATTAAAGGGCCATAATCTGTCATCATTAAAGGGCCCTAATCTGTCATCATCAAAGGGCCCTAATCTGTCATCATCAAAGGGCTCTAATCTGTCATCATCAAAGGGCCCTACTCTGTCATCGTTAAAGGGCCCTAATCTGTCATAATTAAAGGCCGATAATCTGTCATCATAAAAGGCCCTAATCTGTCATAATTAAAGGGCCCTAATCTGTCATAATTAAAGGGCCCTAATCTGTCATCATTAAAGGGCCCTAATCTGTCATCATTAAAGGGCCCTAATCAGTCATCATGCTCTTTTCCAATCCTTCTTTAACTGATAACAGTAGTTCAGAGATATTTGAATTTCTAAATCACTTTTCCAGCCTCTAAATCTTGTTATTGTTTTCATTTTGATGTCCCGCCCTCCACCGCTTCACCAATCAGAAAGTCTGTGATCCGGGCGCCAGAACTCACCGCGTGGAGCTAATCTCACTGGTAAAGTACCATGTGGCGCAGAACTAAAAAAGGTCTCGTTATGATTCTCAAATCATTAACGACAAAACAAGGAATAAAACCAGGATTTCTATCTTTGTGAAAAAGGTGTTGGTTATAGATTTGTTGTTGACAAAACTCTTGTCTATTCAGCTGTTATGGTCCCAGCTGGATTCGTCTGCATATCTGGCAACCTGAGTCAGGGAGAGTGGGAGAGGCTGCAGTACCATTTAATTATTCTGTACCTTTTGGGGGAGATGAATGGGATGCACAACAGCAGAACTAAAAACACTTCCACATAAAGAAAAGTGGCCACAGCCGTCCACTGAAGACTCATCGCTGAACCTGAGGGAAGACAGAAAAAAGGAATAAACAAAATGGTAAAAGAGACACACATCTGTTGGTATTCTTCACTGTCCTGTCATTCAGACGTGTTAAATACTTATGAAGCTTAAACAGGACAGGGTCAAACGTAGCAAAACGGTTTACAGATCTGGACCAAAACAACTGGAAACATCTGGATTTACAATGTTCAAAATGATGAGTTTGTAGATTTTAAAACTGTGAATCCTAAATCCATACATTAAAACTTTGCTAAATTAAACAGGTGAAAAATAACATAACATTTGTAGGAATACGGCGAGAAAACAAGAATGAGTCCAGGTCGATTATTTTATCCTGACAATGGTATATTATTCTTAAATTGTTACTTTAAATCTTGTTTTTTTATTGTGAAATACTGTGCGAGCGACTGTGACAACGCAGTTTCCATGTGGACCAATAAAGTCTAAGTCTGAGTCAAAAACCAGTTGTGATTTAAGCTATACAAGAATAAATTGTATTGTATTGTCAAAAAACTACTTGGCTTCACTCTACAATGTCCCATGATGCACCTGGGCCTCAATTGCCTGTTGCCAGAACCATAGAAGAATTACCAAATATAATTCATTCTAGTTTTATACCAATAATACACAACATAGAAATATTCTAGGTATAAATAAAAAGTCAAAACTGTTTTAGGCTCTTACAGTGTTTTATAAACCACTGCAGAGGGACCGTTTGGGGGCGTGGCAGCTCCAGAACCCATGTCCGACCTTCTCAGTCACTTCTTACATAGATTAAGGATGTTTTGAATAAAATAAGCAACGGTTTTATTAAAGCAGAGTCTTTAGACGCTCTTCTTAAAAACATGGTCTGAGCCTAAATCCATAATGACTTATCTTTGCCACTTCAGGCCAACAGACTCAGGTTCATTATGAACACACGGCAGAGGACTGTACCAACGCCAGGCTCCTTCACCAATACATCACCATTTACCCCAAGGTTTGCTTAGAGGAGTAGCTCTCTGCTTTTACCCAGAGGAAGGTAGCTCTCTGCTTTTACCCAGAGGAAGGTAGCTCTCTGCTTTTACCCAGAGGAAGGTAGCTCTCTGCTTTTACCCAGAGGAAGGTAGCTCTCTGCTTTTACCCAGAGGAAGGTAGCTCTCTGCTTTTACCCAGAGGAAGGTAGCTCTCTGTTTTTACCCAGAGGAAGGTAGCTCTCTGTTTTTACCCAGAGGAAGGTAGCTCTCTGCTTTTACCCAGAGGAAGGTAGCTCTCTGCTTTTACCCAGAGGAAGGTAGCTCTCTGCTTTTACCCAGAGGAAGGTAGCTCTCTGCTTTTACCCAGAGGAAGGTAGCTCTCTGCTTTTACCCAAAAGGTAGCTCTCTGCTTTTACCCAGAGGAAGGTAGCTCTCTGCTTTTACCCAGAGAGAAGTAGCTCTCTGCTTTTACCCAGAGAGAAGTAGCTCTCTGCTTTTACCCAGAGGAAGGTAGCTCTCTGCTTTTACCCAGAGGAAGGTAGCTCTCTGCTTTTACCCAGAGGAAGGTAGCTCTCTGCTTTTACCCAGAGGAAGGTAGCTCTCTGCTTTTACCCAGAGGAAGGTAGCTCTCTGCTTTTACCCAGAGGAAGGTAGCTCTCTGCTTTTACCCAGAGGAAGGTAGCTCTCTGCTTTTACCCAGAGGAAGGTAGCTCTCTGCTTTTACCCAGAGGAAGGTAGCTCTCTGCTTTTACCCAGAGGAAGGTAGCTCTCTGTTTTTACCCAGAGGAAGGTAGCTCTCTGCTTTTACCCAGAGGAAGGTAGCTCTCTGCTTTTACCCAGAGGAAGGTAGCTCTCTGCTTTTACCCAGAGGAAGGTAGCGCTCTGCTTTTACCCAGAGGAAGGTAGCTCTCTGCTTTTACCCAGAGGAAGGTAGCTCTCTGCTTTTACCCAGAGGAAGGTAGCTCTCTGCTTTTACCCAGAGGAAGGTAGCTCTCTGCTTTTACCCAGAGGAAGGTAGCTCTCTGCTTTTACCCAGAGAGAAGTAGCTTTCTGTTTTTACCCAGAGGAAAGTAGCTCTGTTTTTACCCAGAGGAAGGTAGCTCTCTGTTTTTACCCAGAGGAAGGTAGCTCTCTGCTTTTACCCAGAGGAAGGTAGCTCTCTGCTTTTACCCAGAGGAAGGTAGCTCTCTGCTTTTACCCAGAGGAAGGTAGCTCTCTGCTTTTACCCAGAGGAAGGTAGCTCTCTGCTTTTACCCAGAGGAAGGTAGCTCTCTGCTTTTACCCAGAGGAAAGTAGCTCTCTGCTTTTACCCAGAGGAAGGTAGCTCTCTGCTTTTACCCAGAGGAAGGTAGCTCTCTGTTTTTACCCAGAGGAAAGTAGCTCTCTGTTTTTACCCAGAGGAAAGTAGCTCTCTGCCTTTACCCAGAGGAAGGTAGCTCTCTGCTTTTACCCAGAGGAAGGTAGCTCTCTGCTTTTACCCAGAGGAAGGTAGCTCTCTGCTTTTACCCAGAGGAAGGTAGCTCTCTGCTTTTACCCAGAGGAAGGTAGCTCTCTGCTTTTAACCCAGAGTGAAGAAGGACTTGAGAGAGACCAGAGAAAGTCCTGAGAGATCAAAGATAGTGAGAAGGACAAGAGAGAGACCAGAGATATAGTCAAGAGAGAGATCAGAAAAACAACAACAAAGGACCAACAGAGAAAAAACCAGAGAGAGATGAGAGTCCATGAGAGTACAGAGTGAGAGAGACCAGAGGCTATCAATTACATCAGGACTATTGGCAAGTTTTATCGTCCATGTGGACATGCGTATATTCATTCATTTTCATCACGCTTGATTATCCATTCTGGGTCTGGGGGGGCGCAAATCTGAGCTGCACCAATCACAGAGCACCTGTCCCTCTGAGCCTCTGCAGGTGGTGGGGTCCACAAGGAAGATGGTGCTCTTCAAACCTGATACGGCCTTGATCTCTCAGCAGGAGCTTTCAGGCAAAGTGTGGTTAAGTGTCTTGCCTGAGTCACATCGACAGCGCACATCAGTGGGAGCAGATGACATTTGTCGAGGTGGGATCGAACCCATGTTCATTAGGTCACAAAGGACCGACGCCTCACAGTTCCATTGGTCGCATTGGACCTACCACCTGCAAGGAGATCAGCGATGAAACGAAGGATCTAAAAAACGAACTCGGGGTCGGTCTTTGAGGTGGGAATGACATTGTAACATTGTCATAAGCTCAAAGAATAGATAATATGTCTCCTTAAGCAGGTCTTACAGATATATTTAAATACTGTAAATTTTGTGTTAGTCCAAGGTCACGATTTAACCTGGAGCATTTTATCATCTATATTGATTTCTTTTTTGTATAATCATGGTTTGTGTGGGGTATTTTGACGACAGACGCAGGACAGACAGACAGGACAGACAGACAGAAAGACAAGCACAGACAGGAAGACAGTCAGACAGACAGACAGATAGTCACACAGACAGAACACAGACAGACAGGACAGACAGACAGACAGGACAGACAGATAGACAACATGACAGACTACACAGACAGACAGGTCAAACAGGACAGACAGAACAGACAGACAGACACACAGACAGACAGACAAGACACAGCAGACAGACTGTCAGACAGATAGGAAACACAGTCAGTAAACACAGACAGAAGACAACAGACAGGACAGACAGACAGACAGACACCACATGACAGAAGATCAGACAGACAGACAGAGGACAGACAGACCACACAGACAGACAGACAGACACCACAGACAGACCAGATAGACACACAACGGATGTTGTAATAACATTTACAACAGGCGGTGAGCTGTTTTGAGCTATCGAACATTTGCACAACATGATAAGGAAACTTCCAAGATGTTGTCTCTGCCTTAGTTTCCTCCACATGTAGCCTGGATGTACTACCCACCTAAATTTTTTAAGTCTGTTTTGAGCAGTCTTTTACCTTTGCTCACACAAATAGTGAAACATGTTCTTTATCATCTGGAACATTTCCATGGCCCTGAAAACGGAGTCATCAGACCCTCCTAAAGAATGAGGAAGTCTAGATGCCACAGTTCTTAAGATATATCGCCCCATTCTCAAATCTGCCGTTTATGGAAAAATTCTGGAAAAGTTGCTTCCCAACGAACTTACAGAATTTTTAGTAACTAATAGTTCGTTTGATGCGCTCAGCCGGCTTTAGAGCCAATCACAGCACTGTGACTGCAACTAGTGGAAGGTTACAAATGACATACGACTTAACACGACACAGGAAAAGTCACAGTTTTTAGTATTGTTGGATCTGAGTGATGCGTTCGACACAGTCGACCACGAGTGCCTCCTGCAGTAGACTAGTGCACTGGGGGGGTTGTCACTGGGGACTGCCCTAAGTTGGTTTAGGGCTTACCTAGAAGAAAGGAAATACTTGGTTCAGATAGGAACTGTGTCTCAGATCATATGGCTCTGACCTGCGGAGTAACAGATCATTCTGGGGCTCTTCAGTTCAATATTTACATGTGAGTGGATGCAAAACAACTTCCTTCAGCTAAACGCAGACAAAACTGTAATGATTGTCTTTGGTCCCCAGAAACAAAGAGAGAGCGTCATCTGTCCACCTCCAGTCTCTCATCCCTAAAACCTTCAAACAAGGTCAGAAATCTAGGGGTAATACTGGACTCAGACTTAAATTTTAATAGCCACATCAAATCAGTAACATCAGCAGCTTTTTACCATCTAAAAAACAATTGCCAGGATCAAAAACATAGTGTCTAAAGCAGACCTGGAGATTCTTATCCATGCATTTGTCTCCAGTAGGTTAGACTACTGCAATGGCTGCTCACAGGTCTGTCCAAACAGGCTGTAAAACAGCTGCAGTACATTCAAAATGCAGCAGCTCGAGTCCTGACAAGAACCAGGAAGTACGACCACATTAGTCCTGACTAGAACCAGGAAGTACGACCACATTAGTCCAGTCCTCAGGTCTCTGCACTGGCTTCCTGTGGCTCAGAGAATAGACTTTAAAACAGCTCTGCTTGTGTACAAGTCTCTCCATGGCCTCGCTCCAAAATATATTAGTGACATGTTAGTCCCATATGAACCAGCCCGGACTCTGAGGAGCACAGGGACTGGACTCCTGCTGGGACTCTGAGGAGCACAGGGACTGGCCTCCTGCTGGGACCCTGAGGAGCACAGGGACTGGACTCCTGCTGGGACTCTGAGGAGCACAGGGACTGGACTCCTGTTAGTGCCCAGAGTCAGAACTAAACGTGGGGAGGCTGCTTTTCAGATTCATGCTGCTAAAATCTGGAACAGTCTTCCTGAAGATGTGAGACAGGCCTCCTCTCTGACAATGTTTAAAACCAGGTTAAAGACAGTTCTGTTTAGCTGTGCATACAACTGAGGGATTTTATATTTTTAATGTTCTGTGATTATTTAATGCTTTCTTGTTTTGTTCAGCACTTTGAGTTGCCTTGTGTATGAATTGTGCTATACAAATAAACTTGCCTTGCCTACGCAGACACAGGGAGAACATGCAAACTCCACAGAAAGGCCTGGAGGGGGAATCAAACCCAGGACCTTCTTGCTGCTCTTGTTTGTCTCTCCATGGTCCACAGCAAAGTACGTCTGTGACATGTTAGGGCCAACTCAGAGGAGTATAGGGACTGGCCTCCTGCTGGGACTCTGAGGAGCACAGGGACTGGCCTCCTGCTGGGACTCTGAGGAGCACAGGGACTGGACTCCTGCTGTGGACTCTGAGGAGCACAGGGACTGGCCTCCTGCTGGGACTCTGAGGAGCACAGGGACTGGCCTCCTGCTGGGACTTCTTTTGTTCAGCACTCAGAGTAGCCTTCTTCATGAATTGAGCTACACAAATAAACTTGCCTTGCTGCGCGGCATAGAGATAGTTTTGTTTTTGTTTAGTAAAATCTGTGGATCACTAAAATCCCTAATGATGAAACTGGAGTGAGCTCAGAGGCGTCAGAGTCGACTCCGGGTTCAGCCTCAGATGTGTTCGGGCTCGTGTTAGTCCCCTGATGTCATCGAGTCAAGTGACTGGGGCTAAAATTACAACTGTAGAGAGCAGAGATGCATTTCCTCTTCTTGGCAGGACTATCCCAGCACGAGGGAGTGAGTGAGCGACTCAACTAGGCACCAGACTTTTTATCATTCTAGACGACTCATCCATCTTCTTCCCCTTAATCCATTTCTAGGTCGGGGGGATGGCAGGTCAGAGCTATGCCCAGTCCACAGAGCACCAGCCCCTCCCTGATCCACAGGAGGCTGCTCTGTCTGTGAGAGCAGAGCCTTGATATTTCAACGGGGGCTTCAGACAAAGTGGGGTTAAGTGTCTTGCCCGAGGACACAACAACAGCAGACAGTGTTGGTGGAGAGGGTCTCTTGGTGGGATCAAACCTGGCTTAAACTGGACCATCACAAATTTCCATGTTAAGATTTTCATTAATATAAAATATAGAAAAGTAATCTACTTCGGACCCAGTGATCAACAGTTCTCTTCTCTGAATGTTTAAAAGCTTATTCTGCTCCTCTCCAGGAAGCGTTGCAGATTTGCAACAACTTAATTTCTTATTACCTAACTCCTCCACATCCATATTTTTGACCCTTTACTCAAAGTAAATTCAGTACTGCTGGACTGAGCTGCTCACCAAGGGGCGCAGCAGTCTCACTTCCAAAGAGTCAGTCTCATTAGTTTTACCAAAACCGATTTTTGAGACATCAATTTCAAGTCAGTATCACGACCTTCCTCTGATATTTTTAAACCGGAACTGCATTAATGCAGTAAAGGCCAATTTTTCCCTGGGTCAGCTCTATGTACCACAGTGGGCCAATGTTGCAAATCTGCAACATCGCAGAAATTATTGTCTCTCTCTCAAAAAAATGTCAGGGTTGTATATTACTATATAATAATAATAATAATTATAATAATAGGTTCCTCGTACCAGACTCAGCGACTTGGGAGATGTCCACTCCCTGCTCTGCCGCCATGAAACCCAGGATGGAGAAGACCACAAATCCAGCAAAGAAACTTGTCCCACTGTTGATGAGGGCCAGGACGAAGGCATCTCTGTAGATATAGACACAGATATTGATCATGCACAACACTCAGAGGAAGGAAAACACTCAGAGGAAGGAAAACACTCAGAGGAAGGACAACACTCAGAGGAAGGACAACACTCAGAGGAAGGACAACACTCAGAGGAAGGACAACACTCAGAGGAAGGACAACACTCAGAGGAAGGACAACACTCAGAGGAAGGACAACACTCAGAGGAAGGACAACACTCAGAGGAAGGACAACACTCAGAGGAAGGACAACACTCAGAGGAAGGACAACACTCAGAGGAAGGACAACACTCAGAGGAAGGACAACACTCAGAGGAAGGACAACACTCAGAGGAAGGACAACACTCAGAGGCAGGAACAGCTGAGCTCGTACTTGTAGCAGTCGTTGTTGAAGCGATTGTAGCTTCCCAAAGCCGTCAGAGCGCCCAGCCCGATGGCATAGGAGAAGAAAACCTGTGTCCCAGCATCTATCCACACCTGGAGAGAAGGATTGCACTTGTGAGTGATAATATAAATCATGTCAGAATTGTCCTAGCCTGGTCTTACCGCACCATGGTACTCATTTCATTTGTACTAAGGTCTGGATTTGCTCCATTGACTCCGTAACAGGTGGGAGGGGCTAACTCCTTTTGCAGATTGAAACGATTGGATCTGAGTTTACCGTGACGTATGTAATGAGCCCGAGTGAGTAAAACATTAAGCCTAGTTTTAGCATTTAGCCTAGCTTTAGCCATCTCCTTTGCCACTAACGGAGCCCGTGGGGAGTAGAGCCACAACAGCTTTGCAGCAATTACATTTACTAACACCCGCCTCCCCCGCTCTCTGACGTACATGTAGGAAAGGATCATGGACCAGAGTTTACACATGCTAATGCTAGGCTAGCTTGTCCGGGTGGTTTCAGTGTGAGCAATGTATGTCGCACCTGTGCCTCTCCCAGTTTGGACCAGTCCGGCTTGAGGTAGTACATGATGCCGTCGTAGGCTCCAGGCAGAGTCAACCCTCTAACGAACAGAATGATTAGGACCACATAGGGGAACGTGGCTGTGAAGTACACAATCTGCAAACCGACACACAAAAGAGTTAATGCTTTAGACGTTACACAGCAGTTATGACAGAATCTTGAACCAGGAATAAGTAAATACTGCAATAATGTGAAAAAACTGCATTTTAGAATAGTAGACTGGGTAAAAATACAGAAGACTGAGGCACTCAAAAGTGTATCATTAAAGGGCCCTAATCTGTCATCATTAAAGGGCCCTAATCTGTCATCATTAAAGGGCCCTAATCTGTCATCATTAAAGGGCCCTAATCTGTCATCATTAAAGGGCCCTAATCTGTCATCTTTAAAGGGCCCTAATCTGTCATCATTAAAGGGCCCTAATCTGTCATCATCAAAGGGCCCTAATCTGTCATCATTAAAGGGCCCTAATCTGTCATCATTAAAGGGCCCTAATCTGTCATCTTTAAAGGGCCCTAATCTGTAATCATTAAAGGGCCCTAATATGTCGTCATTAAAGGGCCCTAATCTGTCAATAATAAACTGCTCTTTTCCAATACTTCTTTAACTGATAACAGTAGTTCAGAGATATTATAATTTCTAAATTACTTTTCCAGCCTCTAAATCTTGTTATTGTTTTCATTTCGATGTCCCGCCCTCCACCGTTTCACCAATCAGAAAGTCTGTGATCCGGGCGCCAGAACTCACCGCGTGGAGCTAATCTCACTGGTAAAGTACCATGTGGCGCAGAACTAAAAAAGGTCTTGTTATGATTCTCAAATCATTAACGACAAAACAAGGAATAAAACCAGGATTTCTATCTTTGTGAAAAAGGTGTTGGTTATAGATTTGTTGTTGACAAAACTCTTGTCTATTCAGCTGTTATGGTCCCAGCTGGATTCGTCTGCATATCTGGCAACCTGAGTCAGGGAGAGCGGGAGAGGCTGCAGTACCACTTTTGGACACATTTTTGCAACTTTTGAGAGCCTCAGTCTTCTGTCTGTATTTCAAACTGTCACGTTTTACCCTGTATAGAACTCTGGAGTTTATATATATCAATATTTTTAAAGATTATTAATAACAGAAACAAAGCGGCTTCTTATATTGTATATTGTGCGTCTCAGTGAAATTTCCCGCTGTGGGACTAATCTTATAAACTCTGACTTTTCTTTTGGAACACTGTTTTCTTGAACTCAAACTCTTCCTAAACTCGTTCAAAATCCCCAAATTCCAGTCGTCTCAGGTTCGACTTCACACAGAGCGGACTCAGCAGGAGCAGAAGTGAGAGCGGTGGGAAAACAGCCTCATCTGACTGGAACCAGACCTGCTGCTCCAGACCTGCTCTAGACCTGCTCCAGACCTGCTGGTCCAGACTGCTCCAGACCTGCTCCAAACCTGGTCCAGACCTGGGACAACGTGGTACAGACCTGACTCAATGTGTTAATTCAAGGTCTTCTAAAATCTAAATCCTTTGGGGATCTACCAGAAAGGGGCTGGCAACTCCCAAGCCACAGGTGGGAGACCCCTGCTCTATTGGACAAAGCAGTAAATGATGAAAAACATGTTTTTTGTCCCACTTTGTGCAGCCGTCAAACAAAAATGAACAGAAACATTTTGGACATAAACATATATTTTTCTCTGTTTACAACCTTTTTCATATCCAGATGTAGTTATGCAGTTGTTAAATCCTAATGTCATGACGGCATCTTTCCACTTTAGTCTGCTCTATTTGTGTCAATCTGAGTAGATCTAATTTAGACCTGGCTCGATTTCACTTCTGTTTGGTCGTTCATCCGAGGCATTTCTAAACAACATTATCTTTATCTTTATTATAAAAACAGTCAGTAAATGACTTTGTGAAGCGAGAAACTATCAAAATCCCTTGTGGAAGTGATCTGGGCGTATGAGGGAGGGAACGTGCACGGGGCCTGCTCAGCTGTGCAGGTTTATCAAGGACAACCTGTCCTCCAGAAACTGCTGAGTTTGACGAAAACCAGCGAACAAGAACTAGAAGAACCATGTGAGGACAGAGCATTCCTAACTGTAGCTATTATGGTTCTGTGTCAGCAAATTTACAACAAAAGGTTAGGAAGGAGTAACACTGTATCCATTCTGTGTTTCCTTTAATACTCCCATTCATTGTGTTTTCTACACACCTGGTCTTACCGCACCATGGTACTCATTTCATTCTGTACTAAGGTCTGGATTTGCTCCATTGACTCCGTTAACAGGGGGGAGGGGTTAACTCCTTTTGCAGATTGAAACCATTAGCTTTAGCATTTAGCCTAGCTTTAGCATGTAGCCTAGCTTTAGCCGCTAACGGAGCCCATGGGGTGTAGAGCCACAACATCTTTGCTTCAATGACATTTACTAAACATTCCTCTTGCTCCGGCTTCAGTTTCTTGATATTTGGATTGAACCAGAACAGATTATTTTACTATCGCATTCTCCGACAAACTACAACCAGCAAATTCAGCACAAACTCTTGACGTCACCGACACCGACCTACAACACCCGCCTCCGCCGCTCTCTGATTGGTCGGAGGGGATTCAACCGAGGAAACTGCAGCCACTAGGATCAGACCCAGACGTACATGTAGGAAATGACCATGGACCAGAGTTTACACATGGTAAGACCAGACGTACATGTAGGAAATGACCATGGACCAGAGTTTACACATGGTAAGACCAGACGTACATGTAGGAAATGACCATGGACCAGAGTTTACACATGGTAAGACCAGACGTACATGTAGGAAATGATCATGGACCAGAGTTTACACATGGTAAGACCAGACGTACATGTAGGAAATGACCATGGACCAGAGTTTACACATGGTAAGACCAGACGTACATGTAGGAAATGATCATGGACCAGAGTTTACACATGGTAAGACCAGACGTACATGTAGGAGATGATCATGGACCAGAGTTTACAGAGGCTAATGCTAGGCTAGCTTTCTCCTGTCATCATTTATACTATGAACACATGGAACACATTAAAGCTGTTTTCTGGGCCGTACAGTTTCTGAACTAATATAAAAAGCCTTTTCAGAAAGAATGGAATCCAAAAGTCTTCAACCATAACATGGCTGACATACAATCCTTCATTTCCTGCTGTGCTTTAACGTAAACTATCTACCATACCAGAGAGAGAGAGACCAGAGAGAGACCAGAGAGAGACCAGAGAGAGAGACCAGAAAGAGACCAGAGAGAGAGAGACCAGAGAGAGAGAGACCAGAGAGAGACCAGAGAGAAAGAGACCAGAGAGAGACCAGAGAGAGACCAGAGAGAGAGAGACCAGAGAGAGACCAGAGAGAGAGACCAGAGAGAGACCAGAGAGAGAGAGACCAGAGAGAGAGAGAGACCAGAGAGAGACCAGAGAGAGACCAGAGAGAGAGAGACCAGAGAGAGAGAGACCGGAGAGAGAGAGACCAGAGAGAGACCAGAGAGAGAGAGACCAGAGAGAGACCAGAAAGAGACCAGAGAGAGACCAGAGAGACCAGAGAGAGACCAGAGAGAGACCAGAGAGACCAGAGAGAGACCAGAGAGAGACCAGAGAGAGACCAGAGAGAGAGAGACCAGAGAGAGAGAGACCAGAGAGAGACCAGAGAGAGACCAGAAAGAGACCAGAGAGAGACCAGAAAGAGACCAGAGAGAGACCAGAGAGAGACCAGAGGGAGACCAGAGAGAGACCAGAGAGAGGCTAGTGAGAGACCAGAGAGGGACCAGAGAGAGACCAGAGAGAGACCAGAGAGAGACCAGAGAGACCAGAGAGAGACCAGAGAGAGACCAGAGAGACCAGACAGAGACCAGAGAGAGACCAGAGAGAGACCATAGAGGGACCAGAAAGAGACCAGAGAGAGACCAGAGAGAGACCAGAGAGAGACCAGAGAGAGACCAGAGAGAGACCAGAGAGAGACCAGAGAGAGACCAGAGAGAGACCAGGGAGAGACCAGTATTCCGAATACAGTACATTTTCAAAGTATTTCACCCAACACTGAAAAAACTCCACTTATTTGATCTAATTTTCATATTCTGTGTTCTCGCGGTGTAGATCTGGTCATGGACTATTTTTCCTCTTCTGCTCCTTTTCTTGTATCCTTCCTTCCTTCCTTCCTTGTATCCTTGCTTCCTCGCCGCCTCTAACTAAATTGAATCACGTCTCACTGCAGTCTCGCCTCCCCCCGCCCTCAGCCAATCAGCCGCCACTACATCACTGACCCTCTGCCCTTCAAGCTGTAACCACGGTGACGTACCAGCGGGTCATGTGACGCAGCAGGAGTCACGCGCTCTGGACGGAGGGGGGTGAGTGTTACGATGCAGAGGCAGAACTGAGGGTCTCCTCTGTGTGTACAGTCCGACCAGCTGCACCCCCACACCCCCCACGATGGTCGTAATGTTGTGGCCTGATCGGGCGGTGGTGATGGACACGACAGCTGCCACATGCTTCCTTATGTAACCCACACTGAAGATCAAAGGCCACGTGTAACCCCAGCCCCAGGGGTCCGGGGTCACCACCAGCAGGGCAGGGCTCCCCCCTTTCCCCCCGGAATTAATTATATACGACAATTAGAGTTTTAGTTTGGAATCAACAGAGTGGGAGCTCCGAGAACTCACGAGAGGAAAGAAAAACAGATCAATATGAATTACCGCTGGTGGGATAAATAAAGTAATCTGAATCTGAAACATTGATCTGACTACAGAGTTTTAAATCCAACCTAGAGAGCCGCCAGTGGACCAGAGTTTACACATGGTAAGACCAGACGTACATGTAGGAGATGATCATGGACCAGAGTTTACACATGGTAAGACCAGACGTACATGTAGGAGATGATCATGGACCAGAGTTTACACATGGTAAGACCAGACGTACATGTAGGAAATGACCATGGACCAGAGTTTACACATGGTAAGACCAGACGTACATGTAGGAAATGACCATGGACCAGAGTTTACACATGGTAAGACCAGACGTACATGTAGGAAATGACCATGGACCAGAGTTTACACATGGTAAGACCAGACGTACATGTAGGAGATGATAATGGACCAGAGTTTACACATGGTAAGACCAGACGTACATGTAGGAGATGATCATGGACCAGAGTTTACACATGGTAAGACCAGACGTACATGTAGGAAATGATCATGGACCAGAGTTTACACATGGTAAGACCAGACGTACATGTAGGAAATGACCATGGACCAGAGTTTACACATGGTAAGACCAGACGTACATGTAGGAGATGATCATGGACCAGAGTTTACACATGGTAAGACCAGACGTACATGTAGGAGATGTCCATGGACCAGAGTTTACACATGGTAAGACCAGACGTACATGTAGGAGATGTCCATGGACCAGAGTTTACACACGGTAAGAGCAGACGTGCATGTAGGAAATGATCATGGACCAGAGTTTACACATGGTAAGACCAGACGTACATGTAGGAGATGTCCATGGACCAGAGTTTACACATGGTAAGACCAGACGTACATGTAGGAGATGTCCATGGACCAGAGTTTACACATGGTAAGACCAGACGTACATGTAGGAAATGATCATGGACCAGAGTTTACACATGGTAAGACCAGACGTACATGTAGGAGATGTCCATGGACCAGAGTTTACACATGGTAAGACCAGACGTACATGTAGGAGATGTCCATGGACCAGAGTTTACACATGGTAAGACCAGACGTACATGTAGGAAATGATCATGGACCAGAGTTTACACATGGTAAGACCAGACGTACATGTAGGAGATGTCCATGGACCAGAGTTTACACATGGTAAGACCAGACGTACATGTAGGAGATGTCCATGGACCAGAGTTTACACATGGTAAGACCAGACGTACATGTAGGAGATGATCATGGACCAGAGTTTACACATGGTAAGACCAGACGTACATGTAGGAGATGATCATGGACCAAGTTTACACATGGTAAGACCAGACGTACATGTAGGAGATGTCCATGGACCAGAGTTTACACATGGTAAGACCAGACGTACATGTAGGAAATGATCATGGACCAGAGTTTACCATGTGTAAACTCATGGTAAGAGTTTACACATGGTAAGACCAGACGTACATGTAGGAGATGATCATGGACCAGAGTTTACACATGGTAAGACCAGACGTACATGTAGGAGATGATCATGGACCAGAGTTTACACATGGTAAGACCAGACGTACATGTAGGAGATGATCATGGACCAGAGTTTACACATGGTAAGACCAGACGTACATGTAGGAGATGACCATGGACCAGAGTTTACACATGGTAAGACCAGACGTACATGTAGGAGATGATCATGGACCAGAGTTTACACATGGTAAGACCAGACGTACATGTAGGAGATGTCCATGGACCAGAGTTTACACATGGTAAGACCAGACGTACATGTAGGAGATGATCATGGACCAGAGTTTACTGGTAAGAGTTTACACATGGTAAGACCAGACGTACATGTAGGAGATGATCATGGACCAGAGTTTACACATGGTAAGACCAGACGTACATGTAGGAGATGATCATGGACCAGAGTTTACACATGGTAAGACCAGACGTACATGTAGGAGATGTCCATGGACCAGAGTTTACGGATGGGTTAGTCCAAGCTACAGAAATACCAAACTGTTTTAAACTTAGGTAGAGCTCGATGGATTCATTGTTTTTGTGGTCGTTCAGGTAACCCAGCTTTACTGTGCCTTTACTGAAACCTAGACTTTGAACCTCAGATATCTATTGGTCTTTCATTTACCTTTAAAAACCTAATCATCAAACTAGTCCAAGCTAAAAACTTGTGCAATAGAGTGAGTAAGTCTGCAGCAGGACCCACCTTCCCTGTGGACTTGACACCTTTCCAGACGCAGAAATAAACCATGATCCACACGGCCATCAGGCACAGGGCGAGCTCCCATTTGATGGATCCCGGTTCATCCAAACCAGAGGAAATGTCCAGCACCTTGTTCCTGGAAATAAATTTCAAGAATTACCAAAAAATGTGTACTCTTTCAAGTTACACTCGCTCGCTCCTCTGTAAACAAACTCTCTTAAAGCGACGGTAACGTAGATGTTCTATGTAAAACCAAACTAATGCAGTTCTACAGGGATATTCACAAACATGACACATAGTTCCTACATTAACATTAGTATTAATTAAGCAAATAAATCCGTTCTTACTGTTTAACAACAAAATAAACAACCAAATTAGTAACACACTCATAACTAACTAATCTTAACTTGGCTCCCACTAAATGGCTTCCACATGTATTTACAGTATGAAAGATCTATTGCCTATAATGATGCCTATTAATGTAACCGGTTCATTGTAGGGGTGCCCAACTCCAAATTTACCCACATAAGATCTGGTTGGGGCCAGAAGTATAAAAGTGGTATAGATAGATTCAGTTAGAGATGAACTGGGGGAACCAAAGTAACTATACATTCTAATATATACATAAGAAAAGGCCTAGTTCAGATAAAAGGCAGAACTGATGAAAGAGAGATGATAGAGTACATATTTACTTAAAGATGTACTACAAATGCTTGAAACAAAGTAGACAATAATGAAAATATATATTCTAGTTAACATTTTCAGACAGGAGACAATTTCCGGAGACAATAGGCTTTAGAATGAAGTTTAACATGCCATAGTAGCCCCTTACAACACTGCTGCAAGTTGATAAAGATCATTAAAAAGAAATTCAGGGGCCACTATACGTTTTCTTGCGGTCCGGATTTGGCCCACGGTCCTGAATTTGACATAAGAAAGTAAGTATTGCTTATTGATATAGCGCCTTGCACAGACCAGAGTCACGAAGCACTTTATACTTTTGGGCATTTGTCTGAGAGGCACATGCCAGACCTATGTTTCTAGTGGAAGGGGAAACTGGAGCACCCGGAGGAAACCTACGCAGACACGGGGAGAACATGCAAACTCCACTCAGAAAGACCCTGTTCCGATCGAGATTCGAACCCAGGACCTTCTTGCTGAGATGCCATATATACATGCCAATTACTGTACAATACATTAAAAGTACTCCCAGTGACTAAACATGAAATGGGACTCATATATTCATATATTTGTTTATTTTCTCCGTATCGTTTATTTGATCAAGTTGGATTAAAATATACCTGCTAAAAGGCAAATTCATTCATTCATTCATTTTCAACCCTTAGATTAGTCCATTTCTGGGTCGGGGGGTGGCTATAAGACCCAATGCTCACAGCTCCAGTCCTTCTGATCCTCTGCGGGGGGGTTAAGTGTCTTGCCCAAGGACACAGCGACAGCAGACAACCCACAACCTTCAGACCCAAAGGCCATTAAAGGGCACATAACATTCAAATTTAGACTCCAGGGGTTCATCTTTACATTCCAGAGTTTACGATCTGCTTCGTAAATATCTGCACACAGTGTAGTTTACATGTTCTCCCCGTGTCTGGGTAGGTTTCCTCCGTGTGCTCCAGCGATCTATCTTTCTCGTTCACTCCAATATATCACCACATTTTTCCCAGGGTCGCTTGAAGGAGAAGCTAGCTGCCGTTAGCGTCCCGGGAAAGTAGCTCTCTGGGTATAAAAGGTTGGAGACACCTTCTCTAATGTGTTCATAATGAAGCATGAAATATAATAATCCAGACACCAGAGGGCACTATACTCAGACTGCATTCCCATGGGCTATACTCACTCCCAGAACTCGATGATGGGGGAGCGGCTCAGCACGCAGCTCTGGTTCCCTGTGATGTTGGCCAGAGTGGAGTTGACCAGGCTGGAGTTGCAGGTGGCCTGTTGGAAGATCTCGCTGCAGCTGGGCGTGTTCCATGGGTTGTCGCAGCCCACCCAGGGCAGGGTGGCTCTGAACGAGTGGACCAGGTAGTATAAGGCCCAGGTCAGCACCATGATGTAGTAGGTGTTACAGAAGAAGACGATGACCATGGACGAGAAGCCTAGACCTGCCACACACAAACACAAGTAAGGAAGTAAAGTTTATTTGTATAACACCTTTCATGAATGCATCGGTTTTATACAGCGCTTGTCAGGGCAGTGTCACATGTTTTTTCACTTTCTTACACTTTAACAGCTGCCCTGGGGCACACTGCACTGTAAAAAATACAACTCAAAATTGTTCACCTTACTAAGATTTTTGCATTCACTGACAATGAAATTGCCAATTTGAACTGCAACTGTCTGTTGTGAGCCTCTGGAACTGTCTGTTGTGAGCCTCTGGAACTCACTTTCAGAAGTTACTGATGAAAAGTTCATCTTATTTGATATATTAAGTTGATTTTACTTTGAAGTTGTAGGGAACTTCTGAAAGTGAGTTCAAGTTTCTCACAACAGAAAGTTCAAGTGGCTCACAACCGACTAATTTGACCAAAAAAATCATTGTATTTATTTTTACCAACCGTAATGGACAGGGCCAAGCCAAAGCAGCCCTGGATATTCCCTGGGTCAGTCTCAGAGACATTAGGTTTCCACTAATCAGGCTCACAGTGTGTGCGGCACGGTGGCTGAGTGGTTAGCACTCTCACTTCTTGACACGAAGGTCCTGGGTTTGAATCCCGGTCGGAACAGGGCCTTTCTGAGTGGAATTTGCATGTTCTTTGTGTCTGCATAGGTTTCCTCCGGGTGCTCCAGTTTCCCCTGCCCAAGTGACCTTGGTCGGTAAAATGCGCTATATAAATAAACATCATGATGGTTTAATGTGGGGCTACTTTAAACTCAAAATAGTAAGTTATTGTAGGGGACACTAATCTGAACTTAAAAAAGTAAGTAATTTCCAGTAACTTGAATTTAAACACTTAGTTGGCAGAACTTGGAAAACTTAGCTGACACAACTTAATAAGTGTAGTTCTTAAAAACGTGAAGAATTAAGTTAATGCCTTCAACTCAAAAATCCTTCGCAGCTTTGAAAGTTTGAGTTGAACTTTTTCTTTTTTGCAGTGTGACAGAAGCGAGGCAACCAGTCTGTGCCACCGGCCCCTCCCACCACCACCAACCATTCACACACACCAGACTCATTCTAATGTAGGGGAAGTGTCTTGCCTAAGGACACAACCACAGTTTGGAACTTTACAGCCACAGCCGCCCCACTGTGGCACCTGCTGTTCCCAGAGGTCTCCCATCACAGCACTAACTGGGCCCTCTCCTGCTTAGGTTCAGAGGTCTGACAGGATCTGGCTTTCACCTGCAGGTAAGGTCAGATAAAGTTGCTTCTATATATAAATATGGGTTAATTATTTTATTCCAGGTGCAGATTATTTATTATTAATAATTCACTATTGACTCTGATAAAGAGAGAGAGGACTCAGATCCTCCAGACCTGGTCCAGCCAGACCTGGTCCAGCCAGACCTGGTCCAGCCAGACCTGGTCCAGCCAGACCTGGTCCAGCCAGACCTGGTCCAGCCAGACCTGGTCCAGCCAGACCTGGTCCAGCCAGACCTGGTCCTGACCAGGTCCAGCCAGACCTGGTCCTGACCAGGTCCAGCCAGACCTGGTCCTGACCAGGCTCTTTGAGAGATGGGTCAGGGAGGTGGAAATCAACTGCCACCAATTCACACAGTACCAGCCTTTAATACATATTTGCAATAGGGGAAAAGATGTTTAAATATCTGCAAATGGTAAGCTGCCATTACAAAGTTTTTTTTTTAATTATTATCATTTTTCTTCTTCTTTAATAAATGTACAAATCCTTTAACAAGAAAACCTTCCAAAAAATGAATAAAACAAAAGTAAAACCCATTAAAGTCCCTCCCACCCCAGAGTCTGCGGGTTTCAGACACTTCCTCCCTGAGCCACGTCCCTTTCCCTGGAAGCATTTCTCCAGGAGTATTTTAGTGTAGTGCCTTTTTTATACAATTAGCTTTTGGTGAGAAAAGAATTGAGACTTTATCACGATGGAGAATTTCACAGTGATGAATGATTTACCCCCAAAAAGTTAGGTAACCGAGCTTTAATACACAGACAAATGCCTCCGCTCTCCACCTGATCACGGAGACTTTGAAGTTTCTGTCAATCATTCATCAGAAATCTTAAACCACAGTAAAATGCAGAACTTTTAACCCGGTGTTTTTATGACTCCATTTTGAGAAAATCCAAACCAGAGAAAGAGCTGTGACCTTTGTTTATCACTGTTTTAAAGAAACTTGAGTTACTTTTTAAATCCAATATATTTGAGGTCTGTGACAAAGTCCGAGCGCCAGAACTAATCATTATACAAATGATACAAAATATCAAGACCAGATTTGTAAACGCACAATAGCTTTTACTGAAGTCTTTTTTATATTTTTTATGACTAATTAGCATGCATTAAGTTCTTAACCAGCCAAAGAGTTCCATCTGTTTATTTAATTTAATTTTTGACTAAGGGTTTGTTTTTGTTTTTCTATATGTAGTGAAGATCCACAAACTGATTATGAAATTCCATGAGTCCTGTGTAGATTGAAATTAGGACTAAAAAGTGCTCAACCCGATCCACTAGGGGTTTTATAAAACAAGTTCCCAAAGTGCTGCACAGAGATAAAATCAACACATTTAAATATGCGCAAAGTAAAAAATAAATAAATAAATAAAAACAATAAAATACCAGTAAACTATAAACATGTGATAAAAACAATAAAATACTAGTTATCCGATTTAAAAATAATAAATAAATAAATAAAAATAATAAAACAAATAAAAACAAAATAAAAATAGGACCACACAACTCACGCCAAAGGCCAGAGAGTAAAAATGCGTTTTGAGACGAGACTTAAAACATTCCAACGAGGGAGCAGTTTTGACGCCTTAATAGGCTAGATTCACAAAAAAAGCCATAATAGAGATGCAAAACTCAGTAGCAAATTACCAGAGTAAACTCTTCTGTATTGATTTAATTGTGTGCGTAAAATATCGCAATACTGAACAAAATAGAAACATTTCCCCTACCACTAGTTCATACACAGTGGAAACATGGAGCCATTACAATAACTGGACAGGGTTAAAACAATGGCTCGTTGTCGGCTGTGGCCATCTCATGCTGTATGGGACTAAAATAACTCTGACTAAATGAGCCTGGTCTATATCTAGTTGCCTTGGCAGACATTTTGGATCTCTGGGCCTGAGGGGAAAGCAGGGTGTTTGTTTTATGCTCCACTGTTTAATACAAGTCAAGTAGACGGATGGCGAGGAGGAAGAAATGCAGAGAGGGAACCCCATCTCCTCTGCAAATCACAGCTCTAGCCATTACTGTGGGAATACAAATACTAGTTGATGCAGTCGAGAGATTGGGAGTCCTTCCACCTCTGACTTTGCCACAGAGCAGTAGAATGTTGCAAGCATCTTGTAAATCCTGCTCTTGTCCATCCACTCACAGAGCTCTCCAGCCCACGCCGAGAGTAAAGCTGATTTAGTATCAAGTGTCTCCTGCGACCGGGACATAAGTGTGCGTAAATGTCTCAACAGAGGACAGATAAGACGGAGCGGGAGGAGAGCGCCGCCGTGACAAAGATCTCAAACGCCACAATAACCCAGTCCAAGAAGAAGTTGTGCGGCCAGGCATGAGCGCACTGCTGCCTCCCAGACTGCAGCGAGGGAGTGGGGAGAGAGTGGGCGGGTGCACTGTGAGTTACTGTCACCGTCTCGAGCAAACGCTGTGAGGACGAGATGAATGCTCTGCTGACTTGTCACATGGAAGGCTTTTCCAGGATTCTGGTCGTGATGGTGTAATTTACAAAGTCAGGATTGTTTACGAGCGAGAAGACAAAATCCCCAGCCTTGTTACAACAGTGAGATGAAACAAATTATAAATGATTGTGCATGTATCTTTCACGCTGGTCTCAAACAAGCCTGTTGGGAAATTACGTTGCCTCGCATAGCATGTTCTTGAATAAGAGCTCAGACTAAATGCTTAGCGAACAAGTCTGAGTACCAGAAAATATGCTTCAAGCTCTCTCACATTGTTCACTCTTCTCGTGTACAAGTCTCTCCATGGCCTCGCACCAAAATACACAATGCAATGTTAAATAAAGTTCTTTCTATAGGGAACTTTTTCCTCTGCATTTGACCCATTCTGTTATATAGCAAGGGCCTCTATCAGGAGCAGTGGTCGGCGTAGTACAGCGCATGGGGATTTATCTCGAGATGTTGATGCCCAGCTTGGTCAAGACTTTACCAATTGTACATGTTTTTAGTTGTAGGAGAAACCAGAACACCCGGAGGAAACCTACGCAGACAAGGGGAGAACATAAAAAAGCTCCACTTAGAAAGGCCCTTCTGGTGCTCAGAGTCAGGACTAAACATGGGGAGGCAGCGTTTTCTATTTATTCAGCTGGAAATCTGGAAAAGTTTTCCTTAAATTGTGGGACAGACTTTGTCTCTGACCGTTTTACAAGCCTGAAAGCTGTGTGTATGGCTTGATGAGTTTCAATTATGATTTGAATGCACCCTTTCTGGTTATGTATAACACATATTACTCTTACATGGCAGGCTATTACTTTTGAACACAAATTTCAAGGGCTGAGAAAATTACACATACATGTCCTGAGTCATTCAAGTACACAAGCTTTTTCCCATGAAAAATGAAGCCTAAGTGGAACTTCAGACTGGAAGCCCACTCACTGACGTCACCGCACCAGGCTGGCCCATTCCTTCCTTAGTCTATACATCGGCTTTGTCACCTCCCCTGCCAGTCCAATCAAGCCAGCGCTTAAAACCAGGACACCACACGCTAAAAACAGCCTTTGAAGCACCACCTCCACCTCACAATTTTCTCGCTCACATCCACCTTGCCCTGTTGCGACCACCAGTGCTTAGGCCCCAGGATCATAATCTGCACTCAAGCACAGATCCTCACAAACTACAAACTAACTCGCAATCAAAAATTTTTTTAATGCATCTTGTCTGTTGTAGAGACAGGCTTCTTCTCTGGCAATGTTCAGATCCAGGTTAAAAACAGTTCAGTTTAGCTGTAAATGTATTTAATCTTCACACTTTTTAATGTTGGGGATTATTTATGATTGCAATGCCTCGTGTGACTGTCTCTATCTGGATTTGGTCAGCCCTTTATGAGTTTCTATTCATATAAACTTGCCCCTGTCTCTCCAGATTGAATCACCAGTAGAACATGCAGAATTAGCAAGGTCAGATTCAAAAGAAGAATTTTCAGTTAACAAGCAAACCAATCGCTCGGACATAAAATCGAAGATAAGAACTGGACCAAATGGCCTCCCTCCGATTGAAGTTGGTAATTGTCACACACACACATGTCAAAGCCAGTGTGTGTCTCTTTACAAGGGCAGCCATAACACACTCATTATTCTCAGCATTACCACAAGCTTTACTGGAGTAGATCTCAAAGTCCACGCTGGATATTTGGGAGCGCGCACACCTTATTTAAAAGCAATGAGGTCTGAGAAACGTCCTGCCGAAGCCGAACGCGGATTCATTTTTAATGCAGTCCAAATGAGTTTTATTTTGTGGGATTTCAAGGGACTGACAAGCTATTTGATGAATAATGTATAAGATTACTGAAAATTAGTTGGTGCACACAAGCAGCAGTGGCTCCTTATGGTCTCGCCATTTGAAACTGTGAGAAATGGACGTGTTAAAAATACGCAAACTCGAGCATAACAAATATTATTATTACACTATCCAAACTTTGATCCAGGAGCAAAATCCAGGTGTTTATGCAGTCGATTTGTACAATGCTCAAACAGCCACAGACACACAGCTTTCAGCAACAAATATTATCCTTTTGATCACACACACAATCATTGAAAACTTGCAAAATAGATATTTATTAGATAGATGCAAGTCTTATTGCTATTATTAATATTATATTATAAGATATTTTAGCATTTCAATGAACTCCCCCAAAAGTTAAAGCATTTTTATTATAATGATACAATGTCCATAACATGTAGTGAAATGACCGGGAAACAATACATCTGTCTTTAGTTTGTTTCATTTGACACCTCTGGTTTGAGCAAATATTAAGTTAAACAATTGTTTTATATTTAACAATTTAACTTCTAATGATGTGTTGGGTGGGTGCAGCTCTGACTGCCACCTCCCCGACCCAGAAATGGATTAAGGGGAAGAAGATGGAGGGATGGATGTGTTGGGTTACAATTTTATGTTAAATTGAATGGCTCATTTTCCTGAAGCCCATTGCCATCAATACTGCTACTAATAATTATTGAAATATTAGGGGCCACTAAAGATTGTCGTGCGGACCGGATTTGGCCCTCGAGCCTGAGTTTGACTTGGTTTAAGCAAAAGAAAGGTTCGAGAATTATGTTTTAGAATAGCAGTGTTACACTATTCCCACCGTCAAATCTCAGCCAATCAGCTGCTGATAAAGTGACTTCAGTAAGATACAAAGACCGTCTTGGCAGAAGCACCTTTGCATCGTCATAATAATTCTGTAAAAGCTGTTATGATTGAACTGCACTTCCCAAGCTACTCCTTTTTCATCTTATTTAAGCTACAATATAATAAAGCATAAGAAAATTGCTAATTGTTACTGTGGCAACGGCGCTAGATATTTCATCACTCAATGAATCCGTGACCACGAGACACTTTCATCAAAACCATTTATGTTGTATAACTCTAAATGTATTTTTCCTTGCGGTGCAACATCTGTGACTAGAGAAACACAGCCTTTTGGAGAATTCTGATAAATTTAGGACATATATAAACACATGTGTATTTATATACATATGTGGATCAATGCACTCTGTCAAATAAACCAAGATAAATGCATTAAAACATCAAACACCAGTTCACACTTCAGATATTAATTCTGCTCCTACATAGTTATTATTTTGAACCAGCTAATGCTACTATGGCGGATTATTAGAACCAATCAATAAAATGCCTTCATAACATAAAAAGGTTAGAAGAAAACAATAGCCACAAGTGCAAAAGATGAGAAAACTTCACACATACAAAGAAAACACATATTTTTGAAGTGAAGTAGCTCTGACACTAGTCGCCACCTCTGCTTTATTAGCAAACTTTGTCTACATATAAGTTTTCTAAGAAGAAATTCTTTTGCAAGATTCTTTCTGTTGTAAAAACCACATTGGTTTTTAAGGTTTATTTTAAAAAACACGAAGATCCCCCAGGTTTAAATCTCCTTTAAACTGTGTGCGTGCCCTTTCCATGTGCTTTGTGGACAGAGTCAGGGCAGAGACTTACGGGCTCCGTGAGCTCCAGCACCGTGGCCTTGTACGTGATGGGGCTGCAGTCTCTGGTGCGGCCCACGGGGGTGCAGGGCAGGAACTTAGGGCCCAGGTCGTCTCCGTCCAGAACATCCACAGTCAGGGTGGTGGTGGTGGTCCGGCGCTCGCTCGGGTTGGCAGCTCGATCCTACAGGACACGGGGGAAAGAATGTAAGATACTGAGACTGAAGTGGGATTCATGAAAAAAACTATAATACTTTCTTCTTTTTGATGCTAAAGTTATAGATTTAATATATAGTTTATCGTTCATTTATCTTGTGCCGTGTGCTCCTCGTTCCTACTGTTCTATAACTGGTAATGCAACACTGACATTTCCCCACTGTGGGATGAATAAAGGATCTCTGGACATTAGAAAGTAGTCAATACGGTTGCATTTGTCAAAGTTCCCGAAAGCATTAAGCAAATGAAATAAATATGTTTTGAGATATATTTGGCTAATGGCCAAAGCAGCGGCACCAGTGGATCTCCTCCGGCTCGGACTGCACCCCCCCTCGTCCTCGTCCTCGTTCTACAGTCTGAGTCCTGGATCTACAGTCTCAGTCCTGGATCTACAGCCTGAGTCCTGGATCTACAACCTGAGTCCTGGATCTACAACCTGAGTCCTGGATCTACAGTCTCAGTCCTTGTTCTACAGCCTGAGTCCTGGATCTACAGTCTCAGTCCTGGATCTACAGCCTGAGTCCTGGATCTACAGTCTCAGTCCTGGATCTACAACCTGAGTCCTGGATCTACAGTCTCAGTCCTGGATCTACAGCCTGAGTCCTGGATCTACAGCCTGAGTCCTGGATCTACAGCCTGAGTCCTGGATCTACAGCCTGAGTCCTGGATCTACAGCCTGTCCGTCCGTGGGAGGTTTCTCACATTTTATCTCATTTCATAAAGTTGTATAAACTATGGATAAAGTTATTTTAGATTATCAAATATTCAAACCATACAAGTCCAAATAACAGTATTTGAGGCTTTCCAAACTCTTCTTGTTACATACACTACACAAAACAGGTTTTATTCCTTTAGGTTTAAAGCTGAGTTTGAGCCACGCTGAAGTACATCTCTGTAGGAGAAATTAAAATGACCTCTTTCCTCAATCAAAGACATTTTGTTGTATATTGAGACATATTATAACTTCTGTCTCCACTGTGTGTAAATCCCTGCTTCGAATCCCCAGAGACGGGACACGAAGCAGGTCCTACGCTGAGGTGACCGCGGGGGGGCCTCTGCGCTCTGGCACGGTGCAGAGTCCTCCCGTAGTTGCTGCCTCGCCCGCGGGGGAGTCTTTGCGCTCAATTTTGGCGCGGAGCTCCCCCGCGGAGGCTGTCTCGCCTGCTGGAGGATCTCTCCGCCCGGTGCATGGCCCTCCCACAACCGCCCGCACTACCACCACCACCAACCCCGCTGCAGGGCGCCGGCTCGGTCTCCGGCTCCAACCTCCTGCTCCACTGCGGCTCACGGGGCTCGCAGCAGCTCTGCTCCGGGCACTTCCCAACGCTCTCCTGTCCCCTGCTCTCCCCCGGGCCCTACTCCAGTCACACCCTCCCCTCCACGGCCTCTGTTTGCACCAACTACACTCCTGGTGGGGGACTCTATCATCAAACACTGTAAGTTCTTCAATGCAATCACGCACTGCTTTCCTGGAGCCACTGTCCCCACCCATCCTCACGAAACTACCCGCACTTCTACAGACAGCACCCCCCACAATAACCCGGATCATAATACATGTTGGTACAAATGACACTTCACTTCGCCAACTGAAACCACCAAACTCCATTTTAAGGACCTTTTTAACCTTTTATTGAAATCCGGAAAAAGTGTTTTTATCTCTGGCCCTCTGCCCACTTTGAACGGGGCGTGGAACGTTTTAGCAGGATATTATCACTCAAATTGGCTTCAAAACTCATCACAACAGCACAACTTTGGTTTTATTGACAAGTTTTATATGTTCTGGAACCGCCACCCCTTCTTCACACCCGATGGACTCCATATCAATAAACTCGGCACCCGGTACCTGATTTCAAACATCACCCACTCAGTCCAATCCCGTCCCCCGCACCTCTGACGATTCACCACTTCATCCCACATCATTCCTGCCCCTCTGGACTCAACATCGGTCCCTGCTCCCCCTCCAGCAAGGAATTTCAGTTCTGTCCATTACCCCGCCCCTACTGACCGCCCATAATCCGGGATACCGTCCCTCAAACACCCTCATCCCTATTGCCTTTGCTCCTCCACATCTCTTCTCCCCTCACCACAAACAAAAATGACCCCCCTATCTACCATCAGGTTTGCTCTTTTAAATGTACGCCTCTCTTTTAAAACTAAGACTTTTACTGTAAACGATTTGATTTTAGAACACGAACTGGATGGTATGTTTTTAACTGAGACGTGGCTGGGTCCGGATGCTCCGGCTGTTCTTACAGAGGCTTCCCCTCCCGATTTTAGCTTTGCTTTTAAAACAAGAGAAGGAAAGAGAGGTGGCGGCACAGCCTCAATATGCAGTAACGCCCTGGCCACCAAAACCTATTGTTTTTAACCAATACTCAAGTTTTGAGTATCACTCTCTTGTTTTTAGCAACCCCAAAATTTTAACAGTAATTATTTATAGGCCACCTAAAAAGTGCAGCCTTTTTATTCATGAATTCTCAGCGTTTTATCACAGTTACACAATTCTTACAACATGATAATTTTAACCGGTGATTTTAACATACACATGACAATCCCTCTGACAATTTTACCCTAGATTTCTTAGATGTTCTTAATTACATGGATTTTACCCAACACGTCAGACAGCCAACACACAACAGGGGGACGCACCCACGACCTGGTCATTACCAATGGCCTGACTGGGAAGAGTCCTCTGTTGTCGACTTGGCTGTCTCGCGACCACTACTGGGTGTTTTTTAAACATCACTGGTTGTATTCAGCGTGAGACCTCCTGTGAGAAACCGATGAGGAGCGACTCTAACCCTCAGTGGCTGCAAAATTCTATCGACATCCTAAACAACACTCCACTTGGTTTTACTGCGCCCCTGTGATTTTACAGCAAATGATTTAACAGATAGACTTAGTGTCGCATGGATCAAGTCGTCTTTAAAACCAAAAATCATAAAAACAAAATCCTGTACCCCATGGAGAAATGAGGAAGTACGGAAAATGACCGAGAGTGGCAAGGTGGCAGAACCAAGGTGGAGGAAAGATAAAATACAATCAAATAGAACTATATAAAAGCAATCAAAAAGCTACATAACACAATTCTGGGGTCTTTCCTGCAGCCTTCAAAGCGGCTGTGGTGAGAGACCCCTTCTGAAAGAAGAGCAATTTAGATTTTAATGATTTTAACAACTACAGACCGGTATCCAACTTACCATTTTTAAGCAACATTTTAGAAAAAACTTGTTTTTACCCAGCACAATGCCTTTTTAGATTAGCAGCAAATTTTAGAGACATTTCAATCAGGTTTTAGGGTGAACCACAGCACAGAGACTGCTCTTTTAAAGATTTTAAATGATTTTAGACTAAGTTATGATTCTAAAAAGGTGACCGTGTTGGTTCTACTGGATCTTAGCGCTGCCTTCGACACAGTAGACCACACCATTCTTTTATCACGCCTACAACACCTCGGCCTCTCTGGTGCTGTCCACAAATGGTTCACTTCTTATTTAACAGACAGATCCTTCATGGTATACCTGGATACCTGCTCCTCTCAGGTCCATAAAATCACATGTGGTGTGCCCCAGGGTTCCATTTTAGGTCCAGTCCTTTTTAACGTGTACATGCTCCCTCTTGGCGGTGTCATCAGGAGACATGGAATTAACTTCCACAGTTATGCAGATGATACACAGCTGTACATCTCCTGATGATACACAGCTGTACATCTCCTGATGATACACAGCTGTACATCTCCTGATGATACACAGCTGTACATCTCCTGATGATACACAGCTGTACATCTCCTGATGATACACAGCTGTACATCTCCATGTCTCTGATGACACCAGGCCAATGGATGCTCTTTTTAACTGCATTTTAGACCTGAAATCCTGGATGGCAGAAAACTTTCTCCAGCTTAACCAGGACAAAACTGAGGTTTTAGTCATCGGTCCCGAGGCCGAAACTTTTACCAAAACTCCAATCACACTCTTTTAATCCATCACCACATGTGAAAAACCTGGGCGTAATTTTTGACTCTGAGCTGACTTTTATTCCTCACATTAAGAATATAACAAAAATAGGTTTTTATCATCTGAAGAACATCGCCAGAGTCCGCCCCATTCTCTCTCGGGGAACACGGAGACGCTGATGCTTTTATCACCAGTCGCATTGACTACTGTAATGCCCTGCTCTCTGGTCTTCCCAAAAAGAACATTGCAAGTCTTCAATTACTCCAAAACTCGGCCGCACGTGTCCTGACTAAGACCAGGGGGCGGGACCACATTACACCGGTTTTAAAATCGCTGCATTGGCTCCCCGTGTGTTTCAGGATTGATTTTAAAGGCACACCGTGTAACTCTTGGCCACTAGGGGCGCTAGACCTGCAACTTTCACGTTTAGCGCCCCTAGTGGCCACAAGCAACTCAGCACTGTCGCAAAAGTCAACAAACAGTCAGCCGGTGTCTTTTGAGTGTGTATTCAGACAGCATGCACTGGTGTGTGTGTTCAAACTGTAGAGACATGCCTACAGATATTGAGAGACTCTGCTGTGGTCAGCCTCCAGACCGCTGCATTAGTAATCTACCACACATGGACTTCTATATCCTGGATGAGGGAGTTCTGCGTCTAGCTCGTGCTGCGTGGAATGACATCTTTGCAGTCGATGACATCCAGGAACCAGGTGAAGAGCAGCGCTCATACAGACATGCAGCTTACAGCACGATCCCTTTCGCGTTTCCTCTTTTTAGCCTCCTCCGAAGGTTTAAAATTTTTCCTTGCCTCAGCCATGACCAGGAGTCGAGCAGGTGAAAAATGAGTAGCAAAAGCCTTAGCTCCATGAGTATATCAGCGCCTGTAGCCGTAAAGCAAGTCTTTCTTCCAAGTCACGTGACCTGGTGGCAGACGGTCCGTCTGCTCGAAACTTACATGGGCGGTATTTCAAGAGGGCAGCCCCGCTCGGAGCATTGCAAGTGTCAAGCGCTGTATATTGGCCCAAGTATTCATATAAAATAACTCATATGTGTCAACTCTTTAGGTCACAAAGTCCGCGATGTGCCTTTAAGGTTCTCCTAATGGTTTTCAAATGTCTTAATGGTCTTGGGCCTTCTTATCTTTCAGAACTGCTTTTATCCTATGAACCCTCCCGGCCCCTGCGCTCCTCCGGCAGCAGACTCCTAACCATCCCCAAAGTCAGGACACACACTCACGGCGAGGCATCTTTCCAGCACTACGGCCCCCGTCTCTGGAACGGTCTGCCGGAGGAGCTCAGGGCCGCAGAGAACGTTCATATTTTTAAAAGCAGGCTCAAGACGCACCTTTTTAGATTAGCTTTTGATTAGTATTTATTAGTCCATTTTTATATATTCTATTTATCTTTTATTATTTATTATATTGCTATTGCTTTTATTCATGTTTTGTGTGATAGTTCCTTTCAGGCTCACATTTTAGTGTTTTACTTATTGTATTGTTTTTAGTATCCCCAGTGTTTCCTCTGGAGGAGCCCTCTGCGCAGGGAGCGGTGGTTGGCTGTGGCTGTGGGGGTCGGACTCTTGGACCTGGTGGGGGCCCGGGGCCTCGGTTTTGGGTCTCCTCTGGGTCCTGTGTCGTCCCCTTTGGCTAAGGGCGGCTCTCTGCTCCTGGCGCTGACGGCTCCGTGGATGGCGTTTCTTCAGCCGGTTGCATCTGAACCCTGCCAAGTCTCTTATCATCGTTTTATTGTTTTATTGGTGCGTGTGTGTGTGCGCGTGTGTGTGTGTGTGTGTGCGCGTGTGTGTGTGGGTGGGGGGGGGTGGTGTTTGCTTGTGGTCTGGGGAGGGTCTGTTGGGCGGTCGGGGGGAGGGCATGGGCAGGATTGTTTTTTAGCCAAACTGTAAAGCACTTTGTGTTGCATTTGTTGTATGAAAAGCGCTTTATAAATAAACTTTGATTGATTGATTGATTGATTGAAACAGTTTTTAGTCATACGAATCAGAACATTCTCCGAGCATAAGAGAGGCTCACATTATTGAGTTTGAATACTGCTAAAAGAATGTTACTGGTGAGACAAACATCAGTAGTATTTAAAGTTACATCCCCCAGCTTTAAAAGAACCTGTAGCTTCAGAGCAGGAAGTGAGCGGAGGAAGAGGTAAATGGTTGACCAGAACAAGGGCAATAAACAAGAGGTCAAGGAGAGGGTTCTGTGGATGGGGGGGGGGGCATTACTTTGGTATGGGGCATTACTTTGGTATGGGGCATTACTTGTATTACTTTGGTATGGGGCATTACTTTGGTATGGGGCATTACTTTGGTTGGGGTACTTTGTATGGGCATTACTTTAGTATGGGGCATTACTTTGGTATGGGGCATTACTTTATGTATGGGGGCATTACTTTGGTATGGGGCATTACTTTAGTATGGGGCATACTTTGGTATGGGGCATTACTTTAGTATGGGGCATTACTTTAGTATGGGGCATTACTTTGGTATGGGGCATTACTTTGGTATGGGGCATTACTTTGGTATGGGGCATTACTTTAGTATGGGGCATTACTTTGGTATGGGGCATTACTTTGGTATGGGGCATTACTTTAGTATGGGGCATTACTTTAGTATGGGGCATTACTTTGGTATGGGGCATTACTTTGGTATGGGGCATTACTTTGGTATGGGGCATTACTTTAGTATGGGGCATTACTTTGGTATGGGGCATTACTTTGGTATGGGGCATTACTTTGGTATGGGGCATTACTTTGGTATGGGCATTACTTGGTATGCATTACTTTGGTATGGGGCATTACTTTGGTTGGGCATTACTTTAGTATGGGGCATTACTTTGGTATGGGGCATTACTTTGGGTATTACTTGTATGGGGCATTACTTTTTGGTATGGGGCATTACTTTGGTATGGGGGGCATTACTTTGGTATGGGGCATTACTTTATGGGGCATTACTTTTGGTATGGGGCATTACTTTGGTATGGGGCATTACTTTGGTATGGGGCATTACTTTGGTATGGGGCATCACTTTGGTATGGGGCATTACTTTGGTATGGGGCATTACTTTGGTATGGGGCTTTACTTTGGGTATGGGGCATCACTTTGGGTATGGGCCATTACTTTGGTATGGGGCATTACTTCGGCATGGGGCATTACTTCGGTATGGGGCATTACTTTGGGTATGGGGCATTTCTTTTAGCATGGGGCATTACTTTGGTATCAGGCATCACTTTGGGTATGGGCCATTACTTCCATATGAGGCATTACGTCAGTATGGGGCATTACTTTGGGTATGGGGCATTTTTTTGGTATGGGGCATTACTTTGGGTATGGGCTTTACTTTGGGTATGGGTCATTACTTTTGGTATGGGGCATTACTTCGGTATGGGGAATTACTTTAGCAAGGGGCATTACTTTAGTATGGGGCATTACTTTGGGTATGGGGCATTACTTTATTATGGGGCATTTCTGTTAGCATGAGGCACTAGAGGCTGTTCCCAAATTTCTAAACTGTACAGTCCTTAAACAAATAATGTAAATAAATAATCTCACTTGACCCAATGGGCACTTTTTTTAAAACAAAAAATACAAAACAGCGTCGGCCATTTTGGATTAATTAATGTTATTTAAACCTATTATTCTTCACAAAATACATTCACACAAGAACATAAAATGGCCGTTCTACTGACTTGGACAGGTCCGGCTTCAGACCGATCTCCTGAGGTTTGTACGAATGAGAGGACGGAGAAGTCACCTCCAAATCCCTGCATCCGTACGACCAGTCATTACTATATTTAGGAGACAAATGAGACGAAGAGGAAAGAGAGGGAGGTGGGAGAGGACAGAGAGGGAGGGGTCAGACAAGAGGAGTGTGTGGCTGCAGTCCCGCGAACCTCCACTGGGGGCAATCTGACTTTTACACTGGCAAATAGGACAGGATGATACAGACTTAAAGGTGCAGTAAGCGGTTTTGTTAGCTTAGCCGTAGCACCAACTGGAAACCACTCCCCCCCTCCCCTCACCTCGCCATCAAACCACTCCCCCCTACCCTTGCCCTCAATAAAACCACTCCCCCTCCCTCCCCCTCTCCCCCAAACCACCACTCCCTCTCCACTAAACCACTTCCCCTCCCCTCTCCCCCCAAACCACTCCCTCCCTCGCCTCTCCACCAACCACTCCCCCTCCCCTCCCCCTCTCCACTAAACCACTCCCCCCTCCCCTCCCCTCCCCTCTCCACCAAACCACTCCCCCTCCCCTCCCCTCTCCACCAAACCACTCCCCTCCCCTCCCCCCCAAACCACTCCCTCCCTCCCCTCTCCACTAAACCACCACCCCTCCCCTCTCACCAAACCACTCCCCCCTCCCCCACTCCCTCCCCTCCCCTCTCCACTAAACCACTTCCCCCTCCCCTCTCCCCCCAAACCACTCCCTCCCTCCCTTCTCCACTAAACCACACTCCCCCCACCCCACGCCACCCCTCTCCCCACTCCCCTCGCCTCTCCACCAAACCACTCCCCCCTCCCCTCGCCTCTCCACCAAACCAAACATCCAGCATTTTCTTTTCTTTGTCACAACAGGGCTTAACCCAATGGGTACTTTTTAAAAACTACAAACAGTGTCGGCCATTTTGAATTATTTGTTATGTGATTTGAACCGATTATTCTTCACCTAATACATTCACACAAGAATATAAAATGGCCGTTCTGACTTGAACAGGTCCGGCTCATTTTTGGAGACTATAGACATCTGCTCAATTCCATTACTATCTGAAAACTCATGATAACTTGATACTTTTAGGGTTTAGGGACGTTTTCCCACAATAATAAAAAAAATGCATCTGGAAAAAGAATCACTGACTGCATCTTTAATTTCTCTCCTAAATCCAGATTCTTGAGTCCGGCTTGAACAGGGTCTGAGTGACAGCTGGACCTTTACCATGTGAGTTATACGTCCTGGGGCTTTGTCCTGAATGCCTCGCTCTTTTCCCCTCATTTCAGTGTCTCTTCCATCTCTTTAATGTCCTCTCTTCCACACAACACGACGCACACATCTCCAGGTAACCCCCATGTTATGTGGAGAGCCAACACATGTGCCAAAATGCAGACCTTTTCCACGTAGACCTTCTGGCAGACAAGAGCCGCCTCTCACACTTATACTGTGAATTAACTGAATAAATAACACTTTTAGACATTTGTAATGACAAGCTCTTTGTGTGTATCAGATTCTAACGCTGATAAAGTATTAAAACGCTTGAAATGAAACTTGAATTATTACCTATTGTTCAAAATGTAGGTTGTCAGACTTAAATAGTTTTGTCAGTGAATGTGCGGTTTGTGTCTTAGTCAAACAAAATTAATTTTAGTGGAAAATTACAAAGATTTCTGAGAGAAAACCGCTAAAAATACGGAGCCATGTTGCAAATTTGCCGAGGATTTTGGCATTTACTTTGACATTCAGACCAAACTCACTTCAATAGCCTTGTTTTAAACAAGTGATTATTGAATTGTATTTTAATATGTATTTTAATAACGTAAACTTCTTATCCTAACTGTATGTTAATATGTCTGTCAGTAAGTTATGGATGGAAAGAAGCTGGTGCTAAATCTGGTGCAGGATCTTTTTAACCCTAACCCTACTGTTACTGCACATGGTCCTTCATAAATTAAACTTAAGTATGTCTAAATAGTTGTCTTAAAGTTTAGGGATTTTTATTGTACCTGAAAAGATAGGCCGGCAGACGACCAAGAAGGTTTTTGGCAAATTGTACAGTTTTCCATCTCATTTGAGAATTCTCTTTTTCTCCAGTACACTGACGATTTGATCTTTTAGTATGAGTTTATACTGCAGACTTAGGCTAACTTGGTTTTATTTATTATTTATTATTGATCCACTGGTGTCAAAAGTTATCATGTGATCGTTCAATGCTATGCTAGTTCAGGCAAAAGGTTCTCAAGGTAAAAAAAGTGTTTAAAATAACTGAAATAACCAACGCTGTCAGCAATGGGAGGCAGTCTCCTTCACACATGTGTTGGTCCAATGCACTGAAGTGTAATCGAGTAAAACTGTGGTTATTTTGTGTTTATAATAGTTATTTTTCTTGATTTTCCCTGCCTGAGATGTTGCAGCAGCTCAGTGTTCATGGTTTTACACTGGTCCAGACCAGAGCAGAGAGGATTCATGGTTTTACACTGGTCCAAACCAAGGATTCATGGTCCAAACCAAGTGGATCAGGAGAAAATCCACTGGAGGAATGCTAACAACGTACAGTATACAAGATTTGACTTTGGACCAGAGCAGAGTAAATGGTCTGAACCAAGCGACTCCACCTCTGCTGCTGTGACCTGAAGGACTGGTGCTGACTATTGTTAGATATTTTTAGAATTATCTTTTTATTTGTTTAGTTGTTTGGATGGATGTGTTTCTGCTGCTACTGGACACCTGTGTTTCTCATACAGGGATCAATAAAGTATCTATCTACCTATCTATGTGAAACTATATCAAATCCAGAAAACAGTACTAATAATAATAATATAATAATAATAATAATAATAATGAAGTGTTTTGCGCTCACCTCCTCCGTTCTTGTAGCAAAGGTACGGAAACCTCCAGACGTTCCCCAGACCCACGGCGAAGCCCACACAGCTCATGATGAAGTCCATTTGTCGGGTCCATGTTTCCCGCTCTGGATATGCTCCTGGCACTGGCCCAGAGTCACCTGTGACCACCGTGGCGACCACGGTGCCGTTGTCAGCCGGTGCAGTGGGGTGGAGATGGCTGCCGCCGCCGTTGGCTGCAAAATGGTTCTTTTTGTTGAGTTCATCCAGAAATGTTGAGGACGCAGAGGCGGGCAGAGACTGTTTTTCATTCTTCTCCATCCTCACAGGTCTCAAAGTTCAGATTTATTTATATTTACTGCTTGAATCTCTCACTGTCACTGGCTGCTTTCACAGAGCGGTCGGCTGTTAAAAATATTGAATTTGTTTAGTGAGAATTTCAAAGACCATCAAAGATTTGAGTGAATAGATAAAACCTTTTTTTCAAACGTGGGCCAATCAAAATGGTCCAAAACAATTATAAGATTTCTTGTCCAATAAATTGCCCTCAGCTTTAGTCCAATGCTAGTGTTAGAAACTAAACTACAGTCTTTATAATAGAAACAATGAAGCTGTAACTGAACAACTGCATGGTCTGTTTTGCAGCTTGGAAACTGAATATAAACTTTCAGTAAAAGTCACTTATCAGCAGAAGAACAAAGCGTTATAAGTCAGTAATAATGCAAATAAACTATTCAAACCTAATTAAATAAATGAGTCTGAGGGCCCGGAGCGGCTGGACCAAACACCGTTAGAAGTCTGTAATTATGGATAACCCTGTCCCACAGTGTTTACGTTAATCCTCTGCTGCGTGCGGGGTTAGAGCTCACCTGTCCCCGCTGCAGAGCCCTCTCCTGCCGCTGCAGCTCCTCCGGCAGATGTTTATGGTTCACTCCGCTGCTTTCTCAGTCACCTCCGCGATGACAGGAGTCACTTCAGTAAGATCAGTCAGAGATGTTTTGCAAAACTCTAGGTTAGGAACAAAAATACACAAAGAAAACGCTAAAAAAAATAAACGCCACAGAATGCACAGCGACCTTCAAAAACAATCCACGAAACACTTGAATGTGAGTCTGAAGAATCGCATGAGACTTCACGGAGGGGTGGTCCTCAGCGGCCTGCTCAGCGGAATCCTGCGGGGGTTGGGAGTGCGGAGCCCGGCTCTGGGGGTTTCAGGCGCCGCGGGGCTGCAGGTCCAAAAGAGACCCGAGCTCCATCTGTTTTGAGGCCGAAAATGAGAGCAGGAGGCTGGGCAGCTTGTGCTCAGTCAGGACGATGTCCTGTCACAGTCACGGAGGTATTTCACGTCAGCTACGTCAGTGCGCGTGCCTGTCTGTCCGAGTGTCTGCGGACCGTAGGACGTGCGCGGCTTTATAAACTCTGCTGGTGACGTAATGGGCATGGCCCCGCCCACACGGCTGTTTCAGAGCAGCCCGTTATTTTACCGGAGCACGAGCTGCGTACGTCACCGGGATCTCGCCGTTTTTTTGTTCTCTTTTTTTCTTTAATAAACGCAGCTACCTCACGATTTTCCTCGCGTTCATACGTCACGCTGGAGCTTCACACACGCGCACATACACGCACACAGGCACGCACACATCAGACCATGCGGTGCGGGTCTGGAGGGGAGGGGGGGCTGCCAGGATCAGATTAGAGCAGAAGAATGCGGCCGTGTGAAGGACAGAGCTGTGGAGGTCAGATGCAGTGTGGGCACCTGCAGTGAGCTCCTGAGCCACTAGTGGGCAGCAGAGCAGATCATGTTGGGATTGTGCACACGGTGAATGAACAACGATTACTCATGTTACTCACAACGATACATAACATTACACCCTCCTCTGTAGGTCACGCTGCCTGGGGCTCTTCAATAACCTCCAATTACCTTCAATAACCTGAACATGCTTTGTTTTGATGTAAACATCTGCTAATAATGGTTATCTTTCATAAGGATCCGTTTAAGATTGAAATAAAGATATCCAGGCCTATCTAAACTAAAGAACACATTAGTTAAGCTTAAGGGTAATGCTTAATTACTCTGATTATGGAAGTCAGCTCTGTTCCTTATCTCTGGGGATAAGGAACATTGCGCTGCTCTGACCATAATATTGTCCAACTACAGCCTGTATGCACCTCTATCGCCTCTATCACAGGCTTACACAGACAACCAGCCATTCCCCGGCGGGTCCAGAGGTGGAGTGTGAAGACAGGCTGATGAACTGTGTGACCACGGGGACAACATCAACGCCATCATGGAATGCATTTCGGATTACATCAACTTCTGTTGTGAAATCGCTGTGCCTTCCAAGATGGTCCAATGTTTCGCCAACAACAAGCCGTGGATGAACGCTGAAATTAAGGCCCTGCTGAAGGAGAAGAAGAGGCCTTTCTATCAGAATCAGAATCAGAATCATTTTTATTGCCACGTAAGTAACAGGAGGTCACAGACTTGGAAATTGCTTTGGCTCAGTGCAACAGTCAGAAAGAGATAATAAAAATAAGAATAAAAAACACTTCTAAAGAATAAATTTAAATTTAAAATAGAGTTACAGTTACTATTTATAATATACAAGTGCACATGGTGCACACAATGTAAGGTGACAGCAGTACAGTGAAGTAAAGTGACTTTATAAAGGGCGGGGGGACAGGTTAAGAAGTGTTCAAGAGTCCAACAGCAGAGGGGAAGAAACTGTTCTTGTGGCGGGAGGTTCTAGTCCTGATGGACCGCAGTCTCCTGCCTGAGGGGAGTGGTTGGAATAGTCCATGTGCAGGTGAGAGGGGTCGGCTGTGATACGACCAGCCCGGCCTCGAGCTCGGGCGACGTACAGGTCCTGCAGCGATGGAAGGCTGCGGCCGATCACTTCCTCTGCAGAGGAAGTGATCAAAGGACAGACAGGCAGTGAGAGAGGTACAACGGAGACTGAGGCTGAACATCAGGAATGCAAAAGCCATGCAAAGGAGCCTGAAGACCATCCCGGGCTTCAAAGTCCGGCCTGTGGGGGACCTCCGGTGGGTTAATGATCTGAACAGATTCTTTCTGCGTTTTGATCAGAGAACCACCCCTCTCCCAGCCCCAGCAGTGGACAATAGCTGTGTTTCCACTGCAGAAACCTCAGGGTAATTTTCCAGGGTCAGCCCCGTTGGTGCGTGTCTCCACTGCAGCAACTTGCCCCACAGGGACATTTACAGGAACTTTTATGGGAACTTTTATGGGAACCATGGAGTCCCTCCTCCATGGTAAGTACTCCGTTGGGCCCTGAACAGCTCCTGGTGGAACTTGAGGTTAACTCGGCGCTGATTGACGAAAGGTAGAATAGGCTCTGACGCAAGCAGAAAGCTGTAAAGCAATCAGCATTTTAAAAGAGAGGACCACAGAGAGGACCAAGGGAGAGGACCGCTGGGAGGACCACAGAGAGGACCACTGAGAGGACCAAAGAGAAGACCACAAAGAGGACCAAAAAAAAGACCACTGAGAGGACCACTGAGAGGACCAAAGTAGAGGACCGCTGAGAGGACCACAGAGAGGACCCCAGAGAGGACCACAGAGAGGACCACAGAGAGGACCACAGAGAGGACCACAGAGAGGACCACAGAGAGGACCACTGAGAGGACCACAGAGACGACCACAGAGAAGACCACAGAGAAGACCACTGAGAGGACCAGTGAGAGGACCACAGAGAGGACCACTGAGAGGACCACAGAGAGGACCACAGAGAGGACCGCAGTGAGGACCACTGAGAGGACCACAGAGAGGGAGAGGATGGTTCCTGTAGAAGTTCCACCCCCTTCTTTTACCAGGAACTCCTGCGGTGGAAATAGCCCGGTCGTTCACACCTCCGTCAGTGCCCCACGGCCCCCCTCCCCTCAGACACATGGTCTCACTCAGCCCCCCCCCCCCCCCCCCCCCCCATTTCTTTCACACCTGCTCAAGTGTAATGAAGAGGTGTGATGAAGATAATTAAAGAAGGCCTGTGGACCAGACAAAACCAGCTCCAGGCTCCTTAACTCCTGCGCAGACTGTGCAGGGTTATGGAGCACGTCTTCAACCTGAGCCTCAGGCTGAGGTCGGTACCACAGATCTGGAAGACCTCCTGTGTGGTACCAGTGCCCAAGAAACCACGGGCCAAAGACCTCAGCGACTTCAGGTCGGTGGCTCTAACATCCCACTGCATGAAGACACTGGAGAGACTGGTCCTGGGACATCTCCGCTCCACTCTGAGCCCAGCGATGGACCCGCTGCAGTTCGCCTACAGGCCGGGCATCGGAGTAGAGGACGCCATCATCTCCCTCCACCATCGCTCACTGTCCCACCTGGAGAAACCCGGCACCACTGTGAGGATTCTGTTCTTCGACTTCTCCAGTGCCTTCAACACCATCCAGCCGAGGCTTCTCAGGGACAAGCTGGAGACAGCTGGAGTGGACTATGACCTGTCCCAGTGGATCCTGGACTATCTCACAGACAGACCCCAGTTTGTGAGAACCAGTGACTTTGTGTCTGAGGTCCTGACCTGCAGTGTGGGGGCCCCCCAAGGGACAGTCCTCCCGCCGACTTTGTGGACTGGTGTCAGTGGAACCACCTCCTCATCAACACGGGGAAGACCAAGGAGATGAACCACCTCCTCTACTGCTGAGGAGGTCCTACTGCTGAGGAGGTCCTACTGCTGAGGAGGTCCTACTGCTGAGGAGGTCCTACTGCTGAGGAGGTCCTACTGCTGAAGAGGTCCTACTGCTGAAGAGGTCCTACTGCTGAGGAGGTCCTACTGCAGTTAGTGTCCAACAGAAAGGATTGGTGATGATCAGGACAGCATTCTACAACATGTATGGACACTTCTGTGTGTGCTTTATATTCTTCATGTGTTTTAACTGTTGATTCTCTGACCTGTGTTGGTGATTTCAATGGTTTTGTTAAGTCTCTGAGATGACTTCTGTTGTGACCTAGGGCTATACAAGAATACATTGTATTGTATTGTATCGTTACGGCGGCACGGTGGCTGAGTGGATAGCACTCTCGCCTCTCAGCAAGAAGGTCCTGGGTTCGAATCCCGGTCGGACCAGGGCCTTTCTGAGTGGAGTTTGCATGTTCTCCCCGTGTCTGCGTAGGTTTCCTCCGGGTACTCCGGTTTCCCCTACCACTAAAAATATGTCCAATAGTTCTGGCATGCGCCTCCTGTACTGGCCCCGCTCCCATCTCTGTGTGGAGTGAGAGACAAATGCCCAAAAATTAACAATTGTAAACCGCTTTGAGACTCTGGTCTGCAGTGAAAAGGCGGTATATAAATAAAAACTTACTAAAACTTACTTACATTTCCATTTTTATTTATTGTTTATTATCTATTTGTTTACTTTATTTCATCCTATTTTACTCATGATCTTATGTGAATTCTACTGTCTCTTATCTTCAATAATCGACTGATGTCTCTGAGCCATTAACGACGACACTGACATTTTCTAAAAAGGGACCACAAAAATAAAATTATCTAATATTAAAGGACTATCCCAGGACTAACCCAGGATTAGACCAGGACTAACCCGGGACTAACCCAGGATTAGACCAGGACTAACCCAGGACAAACCCAGGACGAACCCAGGACTAACCCAGGATTAACCCAGGATTAGACCAGGAATAACCCAGGATTAGACCAGGAATAACCCAGGATTAGACCAGGAATAACCCAGGATTAGACCAGGATTAACCCAGGATTAGACCAGGAATAACCCAGGATTAGACCAGGAATAACCCAGGACTAACTTTTATTTATTTTTATTTTATTTATTTATTTATTTCAAAACCTGCACAAAACAAGTACAAATATCAGTTATCAAATAAAAAGAGTCACAAGTTTTGAAAAGGGGGTCGGGTGAAGCAGACGCTTATACATTTCCAACCCCCTCACACTTACACTAACACTGTACAGTTATATCATTGCATCAAATACAAAAAAAAACAAAAACAAAAATAAGACACACAGAGACAAGACGCACACTCATTCTCTCACTCACACAGACACTGGCCCAAACACTCCCTGACCACACACCTCTCTCCCACCGCTCTGTCCAGGCCCAGGGCATCACTCTCTGTCCTCCGGGACTAACCCAGGATTAGACCAGGACTAACCCAGGACTAACCAAGGACTAACCAAGGACTATCCCAGGATTAGACCAGGACTAACCCAGGACTAACCCAGGACTAACCAAGGACTATCCCAGGTCTAACCCGAAACTAACCCAGGAT